CCCTTCGCCCGGAAAGCCTACCACTGCTTCTGCGAATTCTTCCATTCCGAGCATGGTGATGACTAGAACTACTTTAGTAAATTTCTAGAGCACTTGAAAGAATATGGAAATACCTTTTTCGACAAAGTCGTATTTTTCCTGGACGGGGACTGATTTGGGTTGACGCAGCAGTGCCGAAAACCTTAAAGACTCACGAACGGTCGCAGTATGAAGATGTAAGTCCTGTTGCTGAACATAGCCTGTGCTGCGCTGGAAGCTAGCAGAGAGAGGAGAGCCGTTTACTAGCATATCGCCTGTGATGACTCCTGTTGAAGTACGTTGGGCGAGGACGTTCAGTAGTGTTGTTTTTCCGGCCCCCGAGACACCCATCAATGCAGTCAGGGTGCCAGGCTCCACCCATCCACTGACTTTATCCAACAAGCGGCGATCCTCCTTTTTGATCTTAATATCATAGCAGACTTCACGCCACATAAATGTGTCCTGATGCGGTGGCATTACCTCTTCGCCTGCCGCCTCTTGTCCTTGGCTTGCGCTGATATTGGCGGCCTTCGGGTCTTTTGCAGATTTCTCCAAGGCAACGGGAATGCGACCATGTTGGAAGACAAGACTCTCCGCAGTGGATGAAGATTGTGAGTTCATCTCAGTGAGTAACAGATACAAGGCGAGAAAAGCAATGATGAAAGCGCAGAGGATACCGAAATTCCTCCAAAGGTGGCTGTATTCGTACCCGTAGCTCACGGAGAGAAAGTTGTCTCCGTTTACATATAGCTCTCCGGCTACCGCACCCTTTGCAGCACATATAAAGTAGGTGCCTGATCCGTTAGTCAACCCGGGGTAGAGTGGTACCAGGTCCGAACAGGGGAAGTCACGTCCATGGAATTCGTTTACAGCCAGCGCTTCAAATGCATATCTTAGTGGATTGATGTAAGAGATCCACTTGAACCAAGGGTGCATGCTGGGTAGGGGAAGCAGGTAGCCAGTATAGATAACAGTGGCGAGTAGGATGACTCCGGCAGCAGCGAGTGCCTGAGGGATCGCCTTAGTCGCCGCAGCCAGGGAGCGAAAGATCTGACTCATACAAAGCAGAGCCATGGTGACAAACAGATAGAAATTAAAGAATGGACCAGCCTCGTATCGAAACCCGCACATGAAGTAGAACACGATGTTGAATATAAGGCTGCATCCGACCTTTATAGGGATATCGGCACAAACTCCCGCTAAAGCCTCCGTGAAAGGGTGATAAAATGCATACGAAGCCTGTTTTTCGACGATCGGCCGCTGTGCATAGAGATTTTGAATCTCGGTGACGGTCAAAAGCGAGTTAAGCAGAATGGCAAAGAACAATGCCGACATCTTCAGAGTGAAATCCTCAGTTCCGAACGCGCCTCCATAGAACAGAGACCCAATGATGATGGAAAAAACGACCTGACCAATCATCAAAGTCAATGTGGAAGGAATGTCATTCCAGACACGTTGGTAAAACCGGGAAGCACATATCCCAATCTGTGTCGGGATATCGATCAAATACGGAGAGCTTGACCGTGCGTACCGAGCCTGACGTTTGGCATGATTTTGCTTGAATGCTTCGGTGGCGCCACAGTCAGCACCAAATTTCGCCTCGTAGCTTGAGATGTCATGACCCAGTCGCTTGTAGCTCGCGCTGCTCCTCCAATGCACTCCAAACTCCTCGGGAGTCCGCGGGACCTTCGCTTCATACCCTTCCCGTGCTTGCCGCTCACTTGGGTTGGTTATACTCGTCAGAAAGTCTGCGGTCGTTTGTCTAGCAGGACAATACCAGCCCATATCTTCGAAATACTGCTTCGCGTCCGTGGTAGGGCCAAAGTATATCTCATGCCCTTGGTAGAGGACCATAACCTTGTCAAAGCAATTGTATACGGCTTGCGAGGGTTGATAGAGCGTCGCAACATGAGTAGTACCAAAGATCCTCGAGCTCGTCTTTAGCGCCTTGACGAAGTCCAAAGACGACGCAGAATCAAGGCCGCGTGTAGCATTATCCCAACAACAGAGTGGCGAGCCAGCCAAAGCCATTTCTGCGATAGATACTCGCTTTCTCTCACCTCCACTGACGCCCCGGACAAAATCAGAACCAACTTTTGTGTTGACGGTATGTGACAGACCGAAGACTGCCATCACAACGTCCCTCATATGCTTGATGTATTCCTTTCTCGACATTTCATTCGGGAGAAGTCGAGGGGTACGTGCTGCTGCTGCGAAGTTGAGTGTTTCGCCGACCGTTAGATGGGGGAAATCTGTCTGAATTAGTCTTATTTCTGAATGATCAATTTGAGGACTCTTACGTTTCTCAACTTCCTGGTTATAGAGAAGCTCGCCCTTAAAATTTTTCTTCATCAAGGGCTGTGGTATGCCATTGTAAGAAATGACTGAATTTGACGACAGGTCGAGTCCGTTCGTCTCCGCTGAAATGGTCTTCAACATGGTAGAGCATCCAGCTCCTGGCCGGCCGAGCACGAGAAGCATCTCGCCCTGCTCGACGTGTCCATGAACATCGTGTAATATAGTCTTGGCGGTTTTAGGGCCACGACTGAACGTACCCCCAAGGATAGGAGCATAGACTGAGGATAGAACTGTGTTTTGAGTTTGAATCTCGGATCCGCTTCCCTGCACAGTAACATCTTTGAATACAACTCCCGTTTTCCGTGCGCTGCTGTCCCCTTCGAATTGTTGCACTTGATGAAGCATCCATTGGGATAAGTCGAAGTGAGGACTCGTGGGGTCTATGAGCGATGCAAAGTCCTGCTTCAAGCTTTTACCTGCTGCAGTTGATGCTGCTGATTGTCGAGACGCTATTTTCCTGAGCTCTTCTTGCTCGTGTCCGGACAGCGTGCTGGTGGAATCATGGTGTTCTTTTTCCTCATTGCCAGGCCCCTCAGGACCAGGTGCTGTAAGCATGCTGATCGATGTAAAAGATGCAACAAGTCTGGAGAGAAGATAGCCGAGGGTGTTCAGCGGACTTTGAACACATAAATAAAAAGGCTTGTCATGATGGTTGAGGTATCGCGGCGCCAACGATCCTCCTCTGAATATATTGTATCACTAATCATTGTTCGGTAACGAGACATCTCTGAAATCGGGATCTCCTTTTCCGAAGAGCGAAATACAAAGATAGCAATAGTAATATCCCGTGTCTGCGGTAGCCTGCCCACCCAAATGGTGCTTTGATTTCGTCGGGCTCCCGAACTTGCTGTCGCAACGGAGTTGGAATCGAGAGCCGAAGGTGTGGGCCCACCCGACCTTCGAAAGCCGATATCATGTGACCTCGTATAGTGTACCGTCATCGGACTTCGTGCTATATTATCTTCGATTTAATCACACGGCTTTGATAATGACCCACTCATTCTATAGCAAGTGGGAAACTGCCCCCTTATTTAAATCCTTAGAAAATCGTATGCGGAGTACTAGAATCTTACAATATTACTACAGTGCAATGATAGTATTGTGTTGGCACGGTCGAGGGATGCATATATATCTTATCGTCTTAGTAGTTTCAGTGGCTATTGATTCGCTTTTATCGAATACCAAAATGTTCAAAATGAGACAGAAGTTTCTCTCGGGGTATCTCAGCATTTTCTTCCGCATCACTGGATGATCAAGACCCGCGCTGGTAGGTCTGAAATCCGCCCAGGCAAATATTATACTACTAGTATAATTCACCCGTCCATTCAAAATTCACTGATCTAGCGTCATTTATTAGTCACTTCAATCCCTGTTGACAGTTTTATGATTGATACAAAGGCTACGACGACACGAAGAATCTCTTGTCTATCATTCAACCAGACTTACAGTTCGACTACGCACTACATATAATGTTTTGGGCTTAAGCTTATAACGAATCCATCGTCTGCAATTTGCGCCGAAGTGCGAAGCTTCTTCCATTCAATGACAATTTGTCACTAAAACATGCACTGCTTACAATTCTCATCCTGAGCAGTTGGGATATGGCAGAGAAAGCGGTAGTTTCATGCAATGCACTAGCTCCCAACACCCTTGCCATTCCTTACAACTGTGTGCCGCGGGAGTTCACTCATAGGCGGCAATTGCACTGGAGAAAGCAGCGTCAATCGAGGCCAGAGTCGAGGCGATTGTCGAGGCATCCGTCGTGGTGGCCTTCGCCTCCAGGTCCGCCCCCAGCCCGTCCGTGTCGGTCTTAAGCGTCTCCAGGGAGGAGAGCAAAGTGGAAGTGACTCCCGCAGATGCCGCAGTTGACTCCTACAAGTGCACATTAGTCCTGCAACAACAAATCACAGAAACCTGGCCGACTTTATGGAACATACCTTCGAGATAAGCTCATCCAAGGTTGCGATGATAATTGTGGCTAGAGAGGTTACTTCAGATGTGATACTGAAACTCTCCGAAGTGGTGAATGCAGAAGCAGCCTCGGTATCAGTGATGGCTGTCTCCAAAGCACTTTTGACAGTGTTGTAATCGGACAAAATGCCTAGAGCTGCCAGAAGGTCTCCGGTCCAGTTGGTTACGTCCGTCTTGAGGGTAGTAACGTCTGTTCCAATAGTCTCAAGATCCGACAGTACGGTCGCAGCATCGCGTTTAGCAATAGGACCTGCTTGGACAAGACCAAGACCCAAGGCGACGACGAGGAAGGAATTGCAAATCATGATGGAGAGAGATGGTAAGACGGATGGGTGATGACTTGAGTGAACTTGTTGATGTCGTGTCACAATGTCAGGCAATGTGGGCCTTTATATAGCTCCAGGAAGTGGTTTTGCTGTCCCTCACGCTCCTTTCAACGCGGGGGTGATGCACCACTAATACAAAATAGCCACGGATGCTTGTGTCGCTAATCCAACCCACGATGTCACACTTTCGGCCACAGGGCCGCAATCGGTGCAACCGCTCTTGACCCTGCTATTGTTGTACCGCATTCCTCACATGTCAACCTCGGGATCATATTCAAAGTGTCCTGTCTTCAGGGACGCTGCGCTTGTGGCTGACCGCAGGAGAGGTCATACGTCCCTGCACAGTCTTCTGGTCGGACTGGGCTGGAACTCCGCTTTGGCCTGCAAGAGATGATACCCATCCATAAATGTCTCTATTATGGCAAGAAACGGAAATGTAGTCGACCGAACCTATGTGCATAATGTATTCAAACATATTCAAACAACAATCACTCACTGAAGCATTGGAGGAAGTACTGATCCTGATGTCATGAGATTGCTGGTCAAACCGGTTGACCTTGGCTACCCCAGATCTCCTGAAGATTGCTTCCAAGTCTGGACAGACAAGCAAACAGTTAACCCCGCTCGCGCACTGGCGTGCTAGTTGTATGCAACCTACTCCAAATAGTCCCGATCAATCTACTCCAGGGCTTTGATTGGCGGGGGCTGTTTGTGGCGGCGGAGGAGCGACGGAGCACACCAACCATCTTGAAGGGGCAACACATCTGGCAGATCTCTTGAACATGCTCCGTGTCGAATTCCACAATAATAGTAGTAGGTTGCAGTGAAATGCGGGGGTGGTAATCCACACACTAACTCGCTGATTTTCTTCACGTACGCAAATCAGCAGGTGCAAGCAGATCTGAGGACAATCAGTAGGTAGATTCTTGGAAAATTGCAGTGGTTTATCATGTTTTCCCTAGCGAGAATGGGACCTGGTTCTAGTAGATAGGACGTCGTAGAGTTGCAGGAAGGCCTTTGCAACGAGTCTTTATTACCTGGCTTGTAGCACATCCCAGGGGTAGTAGCAGGGGGCATGTCATATGTGCTTCCAGGTGGCCTGGTCGGTATTAATATATGCTTTAGAACGATACTCTTCCGGTCGATTCTGTTGTGAGGCTCTCAACGTACCAATCAATCTGCACTTGAACCAAACCATATGGAGGCTAGTGATTTTTGAACCCTTTGAAATATATTGTTTAGCTCGGTAAATAAGAATGATATCTAAAATATTTAATCCTTCGACAAAACTTTGCTGCTAAGCTAATGATCCAACCCTGTTAAAAACCTTCAAGGGAGTGGGCATATTCAAGACCATCTGCGCATCCTTAATAACATCCATCCGCACAATGGTCGAGACGCCCAGCTCGTTGAGGAGTTGACTTAACGGACCTTCGTTCCGAGCGAGCTTGACATTGGTAGGGAAAAGACACTGTGTCGCCAAAAGGGGGTTCGTCTGAACAGCCACCTGGTACCATTTCCCGTCAATCTTGTTGACCGCGTTATTAGTCCCAATTCGTGATTCTGACGGAATGGTCCTCAAAGCTGGAAGGGGTACATCCAGTGACAGATCTAGTGTTCCGTTGGTCGCGCTAATGTCGGCCTTGATGTTGTGATTGTCCATGTTTAGGTTAATATTGGCCATCCACTTAGGGAGTTGATATCCATATATTCCCCTCACCCGAGCAATCTCGGTATCGACTGGAAGAGCCAAGACATAGCCGTAGAATGTTCGGTTCCATATAGAGCTGAGAAGTTGTGTGGAACTGTAACTCGTGCTACCCGGTTGTCGAATGATAATGGCGATCGAGACCTCGTTGTAAGGATCATTATCGCAGACCAGATACGAATAAAATGTCAATGCAACTAAACCGTAACCAGGCAATGCTGTGATGGGCTCCAAAGGCGACGGAAGCTTAGACTTCAAGTGGTCAAGAGGCGCGAGCATGACGAGCTGAACGCTGCTAGTGCGATAGTAGAAATTAGGTGCATATACTTGACCGACCCTCGAATCAACCAGTTTCTTAGGGATTTTCCGCAAGAATGAAATATCGTGTCCGACATTCGGGTCCTGGGCTACCTCATCGAGGTTCGGGTTCATACGGTAGCGGTCATAGTAACCTCCTTTGGGTATATCGACCTTCTGACCTCCGAATTCGACCTGAACAGTTTGTGATGCCGAGCGTCTACCCTCAGATAGGAGTCATTACTGCTTCGGAAAAAGGGATGTTGGATTCACATACGTTGTGGTGAATTTTTCTGATACTGCTGAAAAGCGGTCTGATGTCGAAGACATGATGTTACCGGTAGGTCGAACGCTGGACCAGGATCTGATGATTTCAATACTCGGCGCTGGTTGATGTAGGTGGTTGCAGGGTTAATATATGCCCTGGGATCCCTCCTCGCCCCTCTATGACCATCTCGGAGGTCGGTTGTGGGTGGGCTTGCGATGATAAAGCTGGCATGTGAGGAACACTGAGGCGGACGATGGGTAAAATCAAGCAAATACTACCGAGGCCCGATAGGATTATGGAACTGAGTTTGATAGTTCCGATAAGCACGACAACGGAGCAACATCATGCCGGCGGCACATATGAAGGGACTTTCTGGTACCGGATATTCATTTGTCATGGCATAGAAACAGGAAGAAGGCTAGTACCTGTACATGGGCTAACGTTCTAGGCAACTCTGTCTTGGCGGAAAGAACGGCTGGATCCTCAACAGGCCCACTAAATAAGCTTTCGCAGTTCGGCAAGTGAAGACTAGACACCTTGAGACTTGGTGTACCATGGAGCGCATTACAGTGAGTGTGACATTGGGAAGCCACAATAGCCTAGTAACGTCATGACGACGTACGGGAGGAAGTTACAGCTCACAAATTCCTAGGCCAGTATAGCTGGGCAGCTGATTTTATAAAGCTGCGAATTTGCACACATACAATCCAGCGTGTCAATTCATAAGAGTCAGATAGATTCAGACATTGAAAGTCTGTCCAAATTGCCTATTATTACTCCCATTACTTTCTCACAAACATGCCGCACCTGAAGCTTCGTGATGGAGCAGAACTCTTCTACAAGGATTGGGGAAATCCCAGAGGACCAATCGTAACCTTCTCTCACGGCTGGCCCTTGAGCAGTGACAACTGGGAACAACAAATGATGTACCTCGGTGAACATGGGTACAGGGTTATTGCGCATGATCGCCGTGGCCATGGACTATCAACTCAGACCTGGGACGGAAACAACATGGACACCTTTGTCGACGACTTAGAGGAGCTTTTCGGGCATCTCAAGGTGCATGATGCGGTCATGGTTGGACATTCTCATGGAGGAGGAGAGGTCACCCATTATCTTGGAAAACACGGCACTAAGCGCTTCAAAAAGGCTGTTTTGATCGGCGCCGTACCCCCTCTGATGGTGAAGAGTAGCGGCAACCCAGAAGGAACAGATAAGTCGGTTTTCGATTCTTTCCGGCAGGCCATGCGTCAAGACCGCGCGCAGTTCTTTTTGGATGTTCCCAGCGGACCATTCTTCGGTTTCAACCGACCTGGAGCAAAGAAAAGCGAAGGACAGATTCGTAGCTGGTGGCAGCAGGGGATGAACACCAGCTTCAAGTCCGCGTATGACTCGATCAAGGATTTTTCTGAAACGGACTTCTCGGAAGATCTGAAGAGAATCAATATACCAGTACTAGTTCTACATGGGGACGACGATCAGGTGGTTCCCATTGAGGCAGCGGGGCTGAAGTCAGCAAAACTTCTTCCTCAAGGAAAACTGAAGATCTACAAAGGCGGATCTCATGCCATTCACAATATTAATGTTGATGAAGTCAATCAAGACCTGCTGGACTTTATTAAATCCTAAGTTCAATGGCTTTGGTATGTGATACTTTGGGATAGCGTCTTTTTCATGTGCCAATCTAGCTTCTTGAAAATGCTGGCTCTATCAAGGAGAACATCGATAACATTCTACATTGGCATATGAAGCTACCATTGGCTAGCTCGCGAGGGTATACAATGAACGCATTTCAAAAAAAGAATTCCATAGTAACTTTTAATTTTGTCTTTCTTTCTTTTTTTTTCCCTTTCGATGTTCATTAGTCCTGGAGAAGAAATGAAGGCAGGGTGGATCCAGGAAAATACTCCCGACGACATAGACGATTACTACAGCATAAGCAACCCCAAGGAAAAAAACATGGCCTGGCCTGTGCAGTTGTAGAATCTACCAGACAGGACCATATACGGGATTGTGACTTTCGAATTTAGACTATACCTCTGACATTATAAATCAGCTTCGCCACTGGCAGACACGCATTATGTGAGCGACGGGAACCATACTTCGGATATCTCATAGTGTGCGGGTCCAGTAGGCATGCGGGTACATCACCTTGGTACCGCAGTGGGCTTAACCGCATTGAGGCATTCTTGCGAGTCCACTTGGACCCTTTTCCAACTCTCGTAATGACGACTGGACATGGGAATAGCCTTTCCATGTCATTCGGAACGATTTGTCGCTCCGTCGTGAATCTTCCTGAGAACCGTTCAAAAGGAACATATAATCATGTATTGCCTAGGTCGCCTTCTTCCTTGCGCACTATTTGTACACTCAGTACGCAGTTTAAAGTGCCATTATTTCATCCCCTTTCCTTCTGTCATTTACTGTTACACCTCCACTCATACTCAATATGGAAATGTTGTCCCTAAATATATCATCCTACTCGAAACCATCCGAGTATCAGGTCTCAAAATTGCCCACCCCAACTCTAGTCAACTCAAAGGATGTGATAGTCAAGGTATACGCCGCTAGCATCAATCCTATTGACGTCAAGAGAGCCGATGGCGCTTTGAAACTTGCTGTGAAAGACCCGTGAGTATAAGCCTTTGCCATCAATCAAGATGGTGCTAATACAGTCAGTTTTCCCTACAAAATTGGTTATGATTGTGCCGGCGTTGTTCAAGAAACTGGGCGAGCCGTGAAAAAGTTCAAGGTCGGAGACGCTGTGTATATTAGACTCCCTGAAGTTTCCCGGGGTAAGTGTTTGGTACTCGATCTTCTATGCTCAACTTACTGAAAGCGAAATACAGGATCATGCAGTGAAATTATCAGATGCTCTGAGGAACATATCGGTCTTAAGCCGCCGTCGCTGTTTTTTGAAGAAGCAGCCTCAATTCCATTAGCAGCGATGACTTCCCTCCAAGCTTTTCGGCTATACCGTGGCGGCCTTGCCGGAAAAACTGTCTTTGTGCCTGCCGGATGTTCGACACCCTATCAGTCTCATAGACTGCTAAATGGGCTAATGAAATATAGTGAGCGGTACGGGCTTGTTTGCATGTCAACTTGCCAAGCATGTATTCCATGCGGGTAAGGTCATCACTACAGTCTCGACTGCGAAAATCCCGAAATTAAAAGAACTCCTGGGTGAAAACACTATCGATCAGGGTAAGAGCCTACAGTCCATTGCCATCTCTTCATCATTCTCTAAAACGTCTATAGTTATCGACTATACGAATTCCGACCCCAGGGATGTGATTGAACATGGGACAATCGACTTTCTCTTTGACACCGTTGGCCTTTCTATGGAGCTATTGTGTCTGATGCGGCCAGGATCAAGCCGTATTGTATCAGTCTCTACTCTACCTTCTGGAAATCAGCTACAGGCTTCACCTCTCATGGACCTGCCTCACAAACCCACTATTCCGTTCGCCTTTCGGATGGGACTCAATCTCGCTGATCAGGTTCGAAAGGTCAGAGCACGCCGTTACAAGACGGAGTATTCCTACATGTTTCTCGTATCGTCTGGTAAGGACTTGGATGAACTCACGCGATATGTCGAAGACGGGAGACTCAAAACAGTGGTGGGATCAGTCGTCGACTTGCAAGACATTGAAGCCGTGAGAAAGGCTTGTGGGACTGTTTACAGCGGTCGGGGAGGATTGGGGAAGCTGGTAATCCGCGTTCGCGGGTCCGAGTAGCGACCTTTCATCTTTTATCGTGTCGACGGGGGGTTTTATGGGGGTATGCGGCACGTGGCCGTTCAGACGATGCACAACGCTTCGCCTCATTGTTATAATAGACTTAGTAATTCTTATTGTTCCTGCCATAATTTGGTCTGGATGTGTTAGGGAGTTGGCAGAGTCAAAGTCAAGCTTCAGTCTGGTTGCATACCTGTAAATTGTGCAATTATCTAGCAGTGCTTTTGTACAGTCCCTTGCTCGCTTGCTCGCCCGAATAAGTCCGATCTAGAGGTCTCTGATCGCAAACCGACGAAACACCTCGACACCGTCGGCCACGACTACAGTAACAGCTTCTGTAATATCATAAGCCAGTCTTCTGCTGTAAGGCAATACTATCACTCGGAGCCATTCAGAGGAAGTAGGTTCGAAGTTTGGGATGTAGAACGTGGTATCTCGCTGTTGTGGCTATCCGGTAGTATATTCTATCGAACATTAGTTGCGGGATACGTCTTGCGGCAAACTCTGACTTGGCATCCCCTTTTCGAAGGAAACACCAAGACAATGGTACTAATCCAGCTCCGGATTTTACTACCATGAACCTTTTTTTTTTTTTTTTTTTTTTTTTTTTTTTGTTCAAATCCGTTCAGCCGGATTTCGAATCGAGAGCCGAAGGGCGTGGTGGGTCAATTTTCGAAAGCCGATATCACGTGATGGGAGCTCCCGGGCTGCCATCTTTGGCTCTGAGTGCCGTACAGTGGTGCCATCATCGGTCTTCGTCCTGCAACTTCCGTAATCCGAGGCGCACCTGCAACAATGACCGACAGACTTCAACCACGCGTTGCTAAGTCTTGCGACCATTGCAAGGCAAGGAAGACTCGCTGCATACGTGAGTCCAGCCCCGTCCCCGCTTGATAGTTCTTTTTACAAATGTATTCCCCTTATGCCACATACCTGTCTCCAGTTGACGACCGTAGCCTGGGCGGCCGACTAATCCTGCGCGGTAGGCCCTTCAAGCAGCGCAGTCTGCACTCCTTGCCAGGTGGGTTCAGCGGTGTGCTCGGGTTTCCAGAAAGATGTGATCAATATGACGCTTACGAACCTTGAGGTTTGATAGAAACGCAAAGTTGAGTGTCACTATAGCCTGACACGCAGACAATTGAGGCCAAAGAAGTCAGAAGACACTTTAAGTCCAGGTACATGAGATGATTAGTTGAGGCCTCATTTTGGATGCTGATATATATTTGGGTAGCAACTGTACCTCCATCAAATTATAATGCGTCCTCATCTGCATCTGTGTCCACGGATGCCTCGGCATCTTATGTTGATCAAATTCTCGTCGATAAGAATGCAGATGGCAGGAATCGCGAGGCATGCTCCATGTTCAAGGTGAGGTGCTTCTGATTCTGCTTCTGTTCCGATTATAGCTAATATGCACAGGCTCGTGAAAACCAAGGTAGTCAGCCATCTACTCCCATTGTCATAGCACCCGCTCACTTCTGGGTCAGTCCTCAGTACTGGCATGGCCTTCTTTTCGGAGAGCCACATCCACTCCCTGACCAATATGCTTGGTCACGGCAGATTGAGAGATGTCCTCGATGCTATGGGAGAAGCTATGCATCAGCATGCACATGGTATCAGCATCGATTTCAGCACTCCCGCGTCACCAATTAAATTCTCCCATGAGGAGGCAGCTCATTATATCAAAGGTCAGATGCTTATCTTTGTTACTGTGGGTCAAAGGTCTAACTCGTAAAATCAGTTTATTTTGATGACTTACATCCCTTGACACCCTTTCTGGACCGAGCCGACTTTGAGCGGAGAATCTCGGGGCCAGAATTACCGGAATTACTAGCAAATAATGCGCCATTCTGTGCGCTATATCATACTTTGCTGGCACTTGGATGCCAGTATATGGATGGTGGATCTTTTGTTCCAGGGAAAGGGAAAGCATGGAATTACTTTCAGGTTGCATTGAGCCTGTTCCCAAGAATAATTGCTCCACCTCAAACTTTACTTCACGTCCAAGTGCGTATTCTTCACCTATCCTGGATTCAAGCTAACAGCCCAACCAGGCACTGGCAGCCATGGTGAGCCGAGAAGGTAATGCAAACATCATTCATTTTGCTGAATTAATCATAGGCAGTATTCACAATGAGCTTCTCCTGTATTCCGATCGGCGAGACCTTGATGTCCGAGGCCGCAAGGATCGTTCAATTGCTGGGATACAACGCCGCATACGTTCAAACAGAGAACGAAACATTGTGTCATAGAGCTTTCTGGGTTATATATTGGCTGGAAAAAGTTACTTCCTTCTTCCGAGGACGTGGTTCTGTAAGAGTACTTACATTCCGATACCTTCTTGACTAATGGCAGTTGTAGATGATACCCGACTACGACATAGGCTGTCCTGTTCCAGCATGTTCCGAGACTGCCCCGGGACAGCTTGATTGGCTATTAACGACAGCGCGCCTGGGTCGCCTGATGTCTCGCACTTACGAATGTCTTTTTTCCGTGAGTGCGGTCCAGATGCACACAGCTGCCCGCATCGCGGCTGTAGACTCGATGTCTCGCGAGCTAGAAGCTTGGATTCAAACTCTCCCCGAACCCTATCAGCCCGGGACCCCACTTCGCTTCTCAAAGGGCAAGAGCCCCTGCGCGCAAGATATGGCGCTACAAATACGGTTCATATACTATGCTTTGGTTATGTCTATGTGCCGACTTCGGATCCATCTTACAGTCGACCAACCGAATGAGACAAATCAAGAGACCAAGCGTCAATTGATGGAGACCGCTCGAGCTGTTATATATCATACGCGTTATATTGAGCATGAGGCGCATGTTCCAGCCTGGTAAGAGATAGCGTCCGGGTCCATGTTCTCACAAATCCTAATTGTAACAGGCAACTAGGCATCGTGCCTATTTCCGCTCTCTTTGTTATCTTTGACTTTGTCATTCATAACCCATTCCACAAAGAGACGGCCACCAATATCTCGTTCTTGGACATAGCAGCCGGTTATTTCAGCCGTTGGGAAATCAGTAACAGGGATTCTTTACCAGCATCAACTGCTGCTGAATTTTCTCACATTGCTCGTCAATTTGTGCGGGATGTACAAGCTAGGCTGCAGACCACAGACTCACGAAGGACTTCACGCCTCGAGGCAGATAATACAGTACCAATGACAGGCGAGAAGAACGACTCCTCCGGATTTGCTCTCGATCCAAACCAGGTAACGGTATGTTTCCAATATGCTCTACATCCCACGTCACTCGCTGACTTGACTTCGACACAGAATGAAGAGTCCTTCATTCTCCCGGACATCGAAGCTTTCTCAGCCACTGGACCAGACCAACTATTTTATCCTGAAGACCCGCTCCAAACATTACTTGGAACGTACATGCCACCTACGACCGACATATCTAACATGTTCAACTCGACTTTGTGGAATCCGTGATCATTGTAATACTAGTGGTCAAGCAGATGGGTAAACTGACTAAATGGCACACTAAGTAATAGACATTCGGACCAAGGGGCAGATCCAGCAATACCTGGTTATACTATGCTGATATTGTGCTCAATGGAGATCGTCTTCTCTATCTAGGCCTGAAATTTTATATTTCATTAGCTTTAGCCAAATTCAAGTATCTTCTGACTCGTCCTGATGTGGCAACCCAATACTTGTTAGGAAGGCGGGACGGTCCCTAGGAATAAAGTGGAGACGGGGCGTTCGGCATTCGGGTTTCGGAACTCGCCTCCAATATGTGGACCCTAATCATCTGCGCGTCTATCCCACTTCCAGAGATAGTCTGAGGCAACGCTACACAGTCACTGGCTTAGCTCGCGGCCATCTGTAGTCCGACCAGTGGACTAGTTCATAGCAGTGCCTGAACAACGAATCATGTTTTCACCTAGCCATTCAACAAGGCATGTACGTTAGCACCCCGTGTTCCATTTGACTTAGGACTAAGAAGCCTGTGTTATGGTCTGTAAGCTACATATTGACAGTATAATAACATATAATACATTGCCATTATGTCACGAAGTGCAAATCTGCTATATTACAAGAACGAAACCTAATCACCCCCTGAAGAAAATTCTCGGCCCCAGGCCCCGGTGAACACAACCCCTTAGCGGTATCGCGTGTTCACGAATCAAGCTAAAGCTTATTTCTGCATCATGCTCTCAACCCAAGTAGCAGCGACCTTGTCCCAGATGGTAGCATACGCCAGATGAGCGGAGAGGTTAGTTCCGGCAGCATCGCAAACGCCATCCTTGTCGTCGCAGTAGTCGTGGAGTCTGTCGGCCTACATCGACAGGGCTGCAAGTTGCTCGGGAGTGCGGGGGTATTTCTGTTCGAGGTAGATTATCATTAGCTGATATACCCTCCAATTCGTTATGGTTATAACTTACGCCAGTAGCGGTCACATCACCGACGTTGTACGTCTGGTTGGGCATGTGACGGGGGTCTCCGTAAAGAAGGACAGCGGCGACTAGCGATAACTAGCATTGAGCTTGTTGACGTACATCCAGGTTAGTCACTTACTGTGGGATCCGGTTTCAGGGTCAACAGCAGGAGCATTGATATTTCCCAAGGTTCCGTTATCACCGCCACCGGCCAACATGTCGCTTACAACCATGGCTCCCTACGAGAGCGTCAGTAAGACACTCTTTCAAGCATAACACCAGGAACATGGACCTACCTGAGAATATCCAAACAACACCACCTTGGTCTCCGGACAAGCCTTGACATAAGCCTTCAGCTGAGCAGAGGAGAGAAGAGCTGCGGTGACGATGTTTTTGAATATGGCGGCGGGTGAAATTTTCTAGTCGACGATAAAAAAGACAATTGGGTGAAGGATATTCTGAATGAAAAGATAGAGGGTGGATGGGAGTTTATATATCTCCCCTGCCTGAACTCCTACGAACGGACTGAGTAGGAATGTCAACGCGATGTCGGAGAAATGTGGGCTGCTTGTTACAGCTAGCTTGAAGGTGAAGTCCAGACCTTGCAGTGAGACTGAAATTTCCCTCCCCTGAAGAGATACTGCTGAGCCGAATTCATGCTCGAACTCATTGTCAGGTTGGAGCCTGAAGCTCTTTAGCAAGGGTTTTGGAGCTTGGCTTGTGAAGGATTAATGAGAGAACGCGTCAGCCAGCGCTGATCACATCCTCGGTGGTGCAGAGGGGTTTCTAGGTAGTCAAATGAATAGCATTGTAGAAAATGTACCGTGGGTTCAGGGCCTCCGACTATGTGTCATGGTTCGGGGCTAATATCCATCCTTGGATGTCGGACTTTGCTGGTTCTCCACTTTCGTTTAAGCTTCGTCCGGGAAAGGGCCCAGGTCCACACCACACACCATGATCATATCTTTTCAATCACTACTAACCAGCAGGCAGACCCAAATCAACGTACAGTGTTATGCAAATGGTGTCTGGATTTGGATGGTAAACAGGTGGCTATCACCACAGCCTAAGGGCACGTATAGTATTCATATGCCATATAGAATACTCGGGCCATCAACTGTTACAGCTCCAACAGCACAGCCACACACTTATGAGTTGACCCGAAGTTCTTGCGGGTGAGGGGAGATGATGGCCCATCACTTGATCTAACCTTGTATCATCTTATCTTTCCACCAACTAAAGATAAGCAGTGCCAAATGGAGAAAAGGTATAAATTAAGATTGCGTGTCCACAAGGTGGGGAAACCAATGTATATAGGCAGCAGTGGCCGGTGGCACCTATCGTAGAAGTACTCTATTGACATGCAGCTTCATTCCTTTGTGGGGAGTGTCATGTGTTTTGAGCCGTGGCAAAAGCATACAAGCCTTTCTTTTCCCTGACAGTCTGCCACTGCAGCTTAGAGTGGGGTCACTAAATTTTCAAGCGTGGACCGAACAACTAAAGGTGATCCCTGTAGAGCAGAGATGGCTGCCTAAGATTGCGGTCGAGCATCGTTGCAGGTTGCATTTCCTGAGATACTTTGTGGAAGAGACCAAAGTAGGTGCAATTACTCGCATCTATTAGTTGTGCAAAATGGTTCCAGCAGAGCCACGTAGTAGGCCATCCTTAATATGCACAAGCTTGCCCCATAAGAAAATTAATGGTAAGAGGAAGGTTATAGATGCTAGGTGATTCCCAAGGCTCGGTCCTTTTCCGCTGCTACGCTTCATGTTTTTTGCGTCAGGCAATATGATATTGATTCGCACAAGTTCAGTAATAAGCTCTGAGGGAATACCAGCCGGACATGACTGTAGTCAGAATGAACTAGTGTAGTATCAAATAAATTGCAAATGGTTTTATCCATCCAGTCAAGGGATACGGATATCGTATCTTCGAAAGCTAGTGGACATTCCATGGAATACCTCTGGGTATGAGGGAAAAGACTGACAGACGGCAATTGTCATCCCAACTTGAGCTTAGTTTTTAGGACCCACCTACTACATCTCTTGTCATCCTCATTACCATCTGCATCAGGTAGCTCTCGTTCCTCGGAATACCAACGTTCGTCATGTTGTCCTGGACTGTGACAGCCATCACCTTCAATGCGCTCCTCGGCCGCACTTCTCAATAGCACGGACTGCGCTGATATCCACTTCATGCTGGCCCGCAGTAGATCTAAAGGTTGCCTTGGTATAACTATTAAATGGCAGAATTGGTTGCCGAGACCACAATATTGAGCACGAACTACGAAGACATTATCTACCGTACCGTTAGCACATCGGGGTCGGTTAGTTATTTCGTTGGCCGGGCTGCCGTGGATAGGTGAATAGATATCCAGCGGCCTGTCCTTATTTGAGGTTTGTCCTGATCCTCAACTCCGAAGGTGCTATCATTCTGGGCGTCTTCGGGGTGAAGGCGATATAGGCTGACTTAGATTTGACTATGACTAAAGCCATTATATACAATTCGCTATCAGTAATTCGACGCTATATTCTCATCAATGCCAACGAAAGCGTGCTTTTTGCACATGGTGTACGTCCTGAGTAGGTTGGACCTAACCAAGCAGTCATCGAATGATTGATTCCGGATCTGTGGACGAAGTCTCCAGTTCTCATTGTCCGGTATAAACTTTGACTTTTTCGGAAAGATATTCAGCGATCATGATGATCTTTTCTTCTTCCAACTGCCTGCCGAATAATTGTAGTCCAATGGGTGCTCCGTGGTAGATTTCCGGATCGTCTAATAATGTCAGGATTCGCTTAAGATGGACGAGAAAAGGCCTACTTACACTCTTCATAGATCTTCCGATCCAACTCATTCAGAAACTCTGACCGTTCGTTCATGGACGAAAGATGCTTGTCAGCACAGCATATAGGAACTACCAAGCTCGTATAATCCAGAGTGTTGATAAACGTAGTATACCCAGTATGGCGGTATTTTCCCGGGATTACAGCTGCATGAGGCGCGGTTGGGCAGATGACAGCATCAACTGGCCTTCCAGTTGTGGTTAACTTGGCCGTGCTGTTCCAGTAGTCCATATACTTCTTTTGGTATTCCCTTTTCTGCACGTTGAGTTCCGCCACCTCTCTAGCATTGAAGTGCTTCACTGGTTCAACAGAGCACTGAGGGATTTGTGCCTCTCCTGACAAGGCAATGTGACTCAGAAGGTCTTCGCCACCGTCCATATCGTAGGTTTCGCTCTGCGGAGCATCAGCACACTATCCTCGCTATGTATGCCAGACTTTGACGTACCGCAATTTCTTGTCCTTCGCGGCACAACTTAGGGTCCCATTCTATGACCTATTACGCGTGTTAGATCAGTGCAGCAAAAAAGTTCTTCATCTCTGATTACCTGGTGGCCCAAGTCCCTCAAAATGCGTTCCATGAGATCCATAGCCACCTTCACAGACGGTTGTGGCTTGACACGTCCATCATGTCGCATGATACCAAACGTGAGTTGAGAAGCGGTACTATCCTTCTCCGTAATCAACTTTTTCGTTTGACTCTCGATATCCTCTCTCCATGGCAACGGCAAAGAGAGAGGGTCGTACTGCCATGGCTCCTGGGAGAGAATGGCTCTGAAAAGTAACTTCAGTCCCCCAATACTTGTGGCCAACGGGCCAATTACCGACAAAATGGTGTTTTGGCCGTCAATAGAGTTCGCCGCGCCTTCATACGGAATTCTTCCTGCAGAAGGACGCAGCCCAAATATCCCGTTGAAAGAAGCAGGTATCCGAACACTACCACCAATATCGGTACCGAAACCCGCCGGTGAACCGCGGAGAGCAAGTAGAGCCCCTTCTCCACCAGAACTTCCACCACTCGATAGATTGCGATTCTTGGGGTTCCATGTATAACCAATGATTTGGTTTGTTGTCTCTCCTGACATGAGTGTGACGGGAACACTGGTTTTACAAAACAACACAGCTCCGAGATTGCGAAGTTCCCGTACGAGTTCACTCTCTGCCACCCTATGGCGGGGGTCGTCTTTCTTGCCTTGATAGGTGCCGATCCAGCCCACGTAGCCCATAGTTGTGTCGACACCTTTGACATGGAATTGGTCCTTCAGACTTACTGGAAGTCCATGCAACGGGCCTTTTGGTTTTCCTGTCGCTGCCAAATGCTCGTCGAGTTCCTTGGCAACAAGAATGGCATCTTCGAAGAATACCTCATGTAGACAATTGGCCTATGCTGAAGTCAGCAGACGTATCTCATTGCAATAACCTCGACGTATTGGTAACATACAAGTTGATGAGCAATAGCAGCTCGATGACAGAAAGCTTCCGTCACTTCCACCGCGCTCCAATTTCCCACGGTAGTTTGAGCTGTTATTGCAACAGCATCTGCTTCAGTAATCTCTATCTCACGGGGGGTCAAGTACTCCTGGATAAATTCACCCGTGACATCAATAGGCAGCGTGTCATACTGGATTCTCCATTTCTGGGGAATTGCATCCAGGATAGCCTGGCGTTTAGCCTGGGCTGCCTTCTGCCAGGATGGCATTTCGGAATGCATTAATTCTTTAAGGTTGCTATTGTGTATGGGGTGAGCGGTTGATGGATATACCAGCGCAACACAATTGATTGACTCATCCACAGCGGCACATTCCATGCATGTCGGAGTCATCGGCCCGATACTGCTTAGTCATTCTTGTGTATACAAACACAACTGCGCTAGTATAATTATAGGGGAAGAAGCGATTCATGCACAGAGCATTAGTTAAGAAAGGCCATACAATTCGAGACTGCTGTCTGCTTAACAGGCTTACAATAAAAAATTCCGAATTTTGCTCTCAGCATATTGACTGGCCCCGTCCGTCATAGAACAATGAGCACCTTGAAAATGAGATCCCAGCCAAAAGCGTAGCTCACATAGTCTAGCGTAGCTACAGGGCTCAGAAGTGGCATATGAGAAGTAATTCACCATTTTGCAGAAGATTTCTTTTTCCCATAACCTCCGACTTGGTGCAAAGATCTATTTTGACATAACAAAGAAGAGCCGCGGAAGTGATTTATCACCCCTTGCAGACCGATGATCAGCAATGCCAATACATCGCGAACTTTACTACACCGGAACTTATGGTCCATGCACATAGTAATATGATCGGAAAGATCGCATGGAAGCATATGGAAGGCAAATCTGTGCTCATCAGACGTTAGTATAGATCACGCCTCATACAATTTTGGGTCCTACAATCACTTGAAAGACTAACAAGTAGCGTCATTGGCAAAGCAAGGGATGTGTGGCAATCATTCATCAAGAGGTGAATATTTGGCAACCAGGATATAAGCAGACTATGCAGATCAGCGACGAGTTGTAACCTGGGTGCCATGGACAGTAGCTTTCCAAGTTCTAAGCATACCCAGTGATGCAATCAGCTTGGTGGTCTGATTTTCTGCTTCGTGCATTGGGGTTTGCTTTTGGATCAGGTTTCCCTCGTTGTTGATCTCTCGGGCTCCTATTCGATTACATTTATGGATAATGTCCATGTCCAGATAGGAAAGATATCATTTCAGTTGGCAAGGCTTTCAGGAGAATATCTAAGCCTTTAGGGGATCAGGATCCGCACTGTGTAACCAGAGCCGATAACGTAAGTTTCTCTGCTCTCCTAGCAGGTTGCATTGTATGCCGTGTAATCATTAAGTCAATACAAATTCCATCTGCTACAACCAGTTACTACATGAGGAATGCTGCAGTTGCCGAGAGTTATCTTGTACACTTGGCCCAAATTACTAATGGCTTGCCCTTTTCATATAACTAGACTGAAGCATATCATCTTTAGTCCGTACTCATACGACCCTTGGCATAGTCCGATGTCAAGAGACGCACTCTACAGCAGAAGCAAGGGAAACAATGTAACAGGATACAGTAAAGGTATAGTTCATTCATGGGATTTGATAGGAAGTAAGGGGAGCGATGCTCCTGTCCGAAAGAGGATGCCACAGTGGTGGTATATCTAACTTGAAATTGATATATCACATGCCTGGCTGAGATATGGCCTTATGTTATAAGTGCTGACAAGGCCGAAAGTCCCACAGAATCGGGATTCAGGGTATTGGCTGGAAGCCCATAAGACGCTATGAGGATGTCGCTAGCAACGCCACAAGAATGGGAGATTCCGGTCTCTCAAAGGGCATATATGTCCAAGTCACATGGTGGACGTAAGTGGGAAGCTACCGTTGGGAGGATGTTCGGCTAAACCGGTTTAGGACTTGAGCTTGCCACAATCGACGTCCCCAAGTACCGTGTGGATGAGATATTGGTCGAAATATTGTTTTCAGGTGTTTGTCATACCGATTTTCACGCGTGGAAAGGTCTGTAGTCTCTTTGGTTCTGCAATACATGGCTGACAAGCTATAGGACACTGGCCTGTGAAGCCAAAGGATAACCTCGTTGGTAAGTTAGTTGAATGATTTCATCTGATCCACATTGTATGTGTAGCTTACCTTATCCAAAGGCGGCCACGAGGGGGTTGGCATAGTCGTGGCTCTTGGCAAGGATGTCAGGGATATCTCCATCGGTGACAAAGTCGGCATACAGGTGTGAATGCCCCAAAAATATTCACCCAGTAGGTGTATGCTCACAAATTGCTACAGTGGGTGAATAGGACCTGCGAAGTCTGTGGCCTCTGCTCTCGTGGTTCCCAACCACTATGTCCACATATCCAGCTTTCTGGATATACCGTCGACGGAACCTTCCAGCAGTATTGTGTGTGTAAAGCAGAGAACGCAGTCCGCATACCATCTGGCATGCCCCTCGACCAAGCTGCTCCAGTATGTACCAGTACAGAGATGCTTCCTTTACCATCGTGCTGTTGACGATCTAACTTGGTTACGAAGATATTGTGCGCTGGTCTCACGGTGTACAAAGCACTCAAAGAGTGCGAGCTCGAGCAAGGAGAGTTAGTCGGTATGGATGTCTTTATCTGAGATAACAATCGCTTATACTAACTCCTCCTAGCAATTGCAGGAGCAGGTGGAGGTCTTGGTACATTAGCGTGCCAGTTTGCAAAAGCATGCGGGTACCGCGTTCTGGCAATTTCAGCAGGCGAATCCAAGAGGAAAATTTGCGTCGAGAAATTTGGCGCTGACTACTTTGTCGACTACAAATCTTCATCAGACTTGATCGAAGAGATCAAAGATGTTACTGAAGGGGGGCCAAATGCAGTAATCGTCGTCAGCTCAACGACAAAGCCATTTGACGACGCTATTCACGTTCGTATTTCTATCAAAGCCTTCTACTGCAAGACCTAATCCAGAACAAATACAGTACGTCAAGCCAATGGGAACCATTGTTGCCGTCGGCTTGCCACCCGGCTGCATGAACGCAGACATATTTACGATCGTCCTTCGAAATATCACGATAAAAGGGAGTTACGTGGGTAATCGCCACGAGACAGAAGCAGCACTGGAAATTGCCTGCCGTTCAGGGATTATTCCGCCTTACAAAGTTCTTGATGTACACGAGCTGCCGAAGGTGTATGAGCGTATGGAGACTGGTATGAAATCCGTTCGTTCAGGCAAGAATATGCTAACTCTATTCAGGAGAAATGGAAGGACGGGCCGTTCTTCGAATCGTAGACAATAAAGTACAATCTACTCCTGTCAGACTAACTGCACAATTGGAGCCAAGGTTCTGTCCTGAACAGTTCACTGTGGGCACCAGACTAGCCTACCGGTTGGAGGAGCTGGGAGTCACAGACTATTTTGCAGTACCTGGTATGTCAGAGGGGGCCAATCCAGAGGCGCATGCTAACCTCAATAGGCGACTTCAACTTGGGCTTACTTGACGAGTTACTAAAAAATGGATCCATACGCATGATCGGATGCTGTACAGAGTTGAACGCCGGATATGCTGCAGATGGCTACGCTCGAACTTCGCCCGGTAAAGTCGCAGTTGTATTCGTAACGTTCATGGTTGGAGGTCTTTCTTTAATCAATGCCATTGCTGGTGCATACTCAGAAGGCCTGAGAGTAGTGGTCATATCTGGCTGTCAGCCGCAAAAAGCGTTCGAAGACAAGCAACTGGTTCATCATACACTAGGCACAAATGACAAAGACCAAGCTTTGCGAATGTTCGACCAAGTCACGGCACTATCTGTACGTCTCTCAAGCTCGCAAAATCCTGCGGTGGCTCTCGATAGTGCGATCATCAACTGTTTGAACGCATCACGTCCTGTGTACGTCGAGATACCTACAGATGTTGCCCAGGCGCCTTGCACACCCCCTGGACCTCTGCCCATCAACGGTTCTGAACTATTCGAGATGGACCACGCCCTCAATGCCGTTGACGCGGTTACTAATTGCTGGAACGGGGCGAAACAGCCTATTCTACTGGTTGGGGCCCATGTGCGCCAAACTGTTCTCCCTCACGTGTTGGTCTCCCTCATCGATAAACTCGGTTGCCCGGTTCTGGTCCAACCAGACGGAAAGTCTCTTGTCCCTGAAGACCATCCTCAGTTTTTGGGAACTTTTTGGTCCAGTGCAAGCGATCACAAAAGCGAGAAAGTTTTCATGGATTCTGATTTATGGGTTATGGTTGGGTGTCGTTGGACTGACTACCACACATTGGGCTGTCTCGATATTCGAGAAGAATCGCATCGTATCGTCGACCTCCAAGACGGATCTGTCACTATTCCAAGTGATGAGAGTTACACAAATATACCGCTCAATGAGTTGATAAAACTTATCGCCCAGTCTAATATCCAACACAAAGGTACTGTGCAACTTAACGGGATAATCCCAACTGTCAAAGTCAAACGAGCAACTATAGATACCTCAAAGCTCTCGCTGTCGACCATCCTCGGTGGCATTCAAGATTTGATAGGACCCGAAAATTCCGTCATCGCTGATACTGGTGATAGCTGGTTCAATGGGCAAATGATCAAGTTGCCCTTGGGGAGCCGATTATCAGATGCAGATGGTGTATGGTTCAATCGGGTGGAGCCTTCCGGCCACTCTTGGTTATCAACTCGGCCGGCCAAATCAACGAGTCATACTGATGATCGGAGACGGTAGCTTGCGCATGACGTTCCAGGAATTGAGCACCATGATCAGCCTTAGGCTCAATCCCATCATCTTCGTTTTTAATAATCTAGGATACGCAATAGAGGTGAGTCCAGGTGAATAACATTCATAACAAGAAATGATTGTCTTACTGTTTCTAGACCGCAATTCATGATGGACCATACAACTATTACTCGAACTGGAATTATACCTCATTGGCGAATAGCCTCTGCAGCACTTTTCATGCCATCTACGATAACCCATACGTCGACCACAAACTCACGGAAACTTGTTCAGACCCTCCGATGTTTTCCGCGCAGATCAAAACCACTACAGACTTATTGATAGCCCTAAGACGTGCTGAGCATGAACCCAAGAAGCTTGCCTTCTTGGAGTGCTGCATCGATCCCAGCGACATCAGCTCCTCACTTCAACGCTTTGGCTTGGCTGTTGGCACGAGGGGCAAAGAGGCTTAATATCGCGACACTAAGGACAGTCCATATATCCCATAGTTCTTCTAGGACATTGAAATAATTTTGCATGTCTTTCGGCTAGTTTTCGCTATTGGCATATCAAATTTAAGATTGACAATGATTCGACTATATTTATAGGATTTTCTAGGATAGATGGCGCAAACTGCAGAGCTATACATAGCACAGATGTATAAGCACTCACGATAGGATGACCGTAGAATAACAATATCATTCTTCATTGGATATCTTTATATTAGTTACTATAATTATATTCCATCTTGTCTGATTAAAAACAAGTGCAAGAGTTATAGGTAGCTATATATATATAATAAGAAATTATATCTAGAAAACGATTTACAGGAAAGAAGTTAAGAGATCAAGAAATTCGAAAAAAGCTAGAAGAAAGATTCATACTTTTCTGCTACATCTCAATCTAGAAAGTAGTAAAGTCGTATAAGTAAATGATTCTTTGCCTTATTATAATAATATTTCTTTCAAGTATGAAAGGATATGGTAGTATATGTTGAAGCAGTAATACTAGTAGCCTCGATCACGTGACCCAAGGCTTACAAGTTAGACCGGGAGCCCTTCACCATCAAGAGACAAACTGTTGAACCTAAAGACCATGTCAAGATTCTGGGTGTCCTGATGGACACAAGTCTCAAATACAAGGAATACATTGCAAGGACAGCGTCCAAGGGCCTTGAGGCAGTGATGGAGCTTCGATGACTTCGAGGTCTGTCCCCATCAACAGCGCGGCAGCTATTCACATCGACAGTGGCTCCCGTAGTGGACTACGCGTCTAACATCTGGATGCATGCATTCAAAAATAAGGCTACGGGGCTGATCAACTGAGTCCAAAGGGTGGGAGCGCAAGCAATTATCGGGATCTTTCTCACCGTTGCAACCAGCGTCGCGGAGGCAGAGGCTCATATTGCCACGGCGCAATACTGTTTTTGGAGGCGGGCCGTGAAAATGTGGACTGATCTCCACACGCTCCCGGATACCAATCCGCTCCGCCGAACTACAGCTCGGATCAGGAAATTCAGACGGTTTCACTGTTCGCCGCTGTACCAGGTGGCAGACGCGCTGAAGAACATCGAGATGGAAACACTGGAGACTATTAACCTGTTTATATTAGCACCATGGGAGACACGTATACAGACTGATGGCAAAACCATGCCGGACCCGCAGTCTGCACTGGGTGGATCAATACAGATCGCGATCAGCAGCTCGGCACGGAACGGGTTTGTAGGATTCGGGGTGGCGATTGAGAAGCAGCCACCTCGATATCAAAAACTGAAATTGAAGATCTTTTCCATGACACTGGGCGCAAGATCAGAGCAAAATCCATTCTCCGCAGAGCTAGCGGCTATAGCTCATACATTGAACGGGCTGGTGGGACTGAAAGGGTTCAGGCTCAGGCTGCTCACCAGTAACAAAGCAGCGGCCCTCACGATACAGAACCCTCGACAATAGTCAGGCCAGGAGTTCGTCTGCCAGACGTACAAGCTGATGAACAGACTGCGGAGAAAAGGAAACCATATCAAGATTCTTTGGGTCCCTACCAGCGAAGACAACAAATTACTGGGCCTAGCTAAGGAGCAGGCCCGAGCTGCAACCCACGAGGACGCTATTCTACAAGCACAGGTTCCCAGAATGAAGTCAACAACGTTGAATCTCGCACGATTCCAAGCAGTCACCACGAAAGCCTTGCCAGAGGACGTAGGAAGACACGTTAAACGAGTGGATGCCGCACTTCCAGGAAAGCACACCCGACAGCTGTATAATGGATTATCATGGAAAGAAGCGACCGTGCTGGCTCAACTCCGGACCGGCATGGCAAGATTAAATGGGTATCTCTACCGGATCAATATCGCGCAGACAGACCAGTGTGCATGCGGACAAGCCAGAGAAACCGTGGAGCATTTTCTCTTCCGGTGTCGGAAGTGGACCACGCAACGGATCGCACTGCTACAATGTACTCGAACCCAGCGGGGCAATCTCTCCCTCTGTCTGGGCGGGAAATCGCCGTCCGATGATCAGCAATGGATGCCGAACTTGGAGGCAGTACGAGCCTCAATACGATTTGCTATCGCCACGGGCCGACTCGACGCCGTCTAACCATGTTAACCAAGACAATGACACCCTTCCCCTAACTAACCTACACCAACCACCTTGTGCCACAGATGGTAGACGCGCTTCAACTGCCGAGGATAGGATGTTGAACACTTGAAGAAGCGCCTTCAAGCCAGTCTACTAACAAATATACTAACCCACAGGGATTCCTACCATAGTGATAGCTGAGAGGACAGATACTGAAAGGATCTATGTATGGGCTCGAGGAGATACTGCAGATGTACGCTAGATTTCGTGTTGATAGATCAGTGATAGTTGCCCTTTCGGCTGAGCCGCCGGGCGTCATGAATTGTGTGTGTGTGTAAGGCGCCCCTGGCTGGTGCAGCGGGGTATCAATCAGCGCCTATTGATTGTTGGGCTCGGATACCATGATTGTTTTCCTAGAGATATATAAGAGCTACATGTAGCATGGACGGCAATGGGCAAATTCGGCTCAGAGCAAGCTCCGCCATCCATTGACAGAGATGCACGCTTATTATCAACTTCTAGTAACCAGTAATGCGGTGGCATAGGCAAAACATTTCTTCCTTCCTCGAGGAATGGTGCTGAGATACCACCCTTGCCCTTCCATTTCGGAGTTCATACCGGATGAAGATACTCTAAAGTTGTACCGACAATACGAGCTCACTGGCCATAACGAGACAGGTCTAAGTGGGTTGAGTCTGAAGGAGAAGCAGGTTATTGAGCGGCTACAGGCCCGGCAACAGGACTTGCCGTTGCTGAACATGCTTCTTCAGGCGCTACGGATTCCTGGCCTCCGTCCTGGGTTTATGGCGGGAAACATCAACCGATTGCTGCGTATGAAATGCCCACATGTAGGAACACCCGCAACATCCCGAATGTTGCAGAACAACCAGAAACGCAGACTGACATAGTGCAAGGAGCATGCGCATTACATCCAGCACATCCTGAATGTCTGGACCTATATCATGGGCCCCCAACCTGTCTCTAATCTGGATGCCGAATCTGTTCGGCTATTGCAGGGCCGGTCGCCGGTATGGTCTACCACTGACCACGATTTTATCAGGCGCCTCCTGTCGGTAGGCGTACTCTTTCCGGGAGTGACAGACCCAGAGAGACGTGCGCTTCTTGCCCGTCGGCTTCTTTCTGTAGCGACTATCATTCCCTCGCTACGCACGTTTATGGAGGATACGAAATATCTCCTGCCGTGTGCGCTGGCATTGCGAAGGCTCATCCCTGATGCTCCAGGGGATACAATCCAAACTTGCCTCTGGCACTATTACAGCGCACCTGAGCCGCATACCACGAATGGCCGAGTCGCGTTCCTCCACGCATACCGACGGTTATGGCTGTTCACCATGCGGTGCTTCCCCCATCTGGTCAGCATCATGCCTCTGCGGGACCGTCGTGGAGCAGCAAGACGCGTCCATCGATCGCGGGAGAAATCCAAGCGCTGTTGGACGGCCCTGGCTCATCTTGCGTGGTCGCAGGGCTTCCGTACTCCCAAAATTGCTGCGATACTCCAGCAGTGGGGGTTCCGATCAGTTCAACGTCAACGCCAGGGACACTTCCAAGAGCCCCACTTAACCCGAAATGGGACAGGCCCCTGGAAGCTGCGCCACCGGTGCGGCATGCCCTCTGAATTGGCATTTTTGCAAAGTCAGCCGTTCCTGACGCTGCACAACATAGACACCCACCGGGATTGTGTTGTAGGAGAGGACCTGACTCCATTTGCGGTCGCTCGGAATATCTTTCAGGCCTTCTTTGGCAACCTTCCAACCTTACCCGAACCGGTCGCAAGTCCGTCCCTGCACACCTACAAGGGCCGATACAAGGAGCATAGATTCCTTTCATCTCAGCCTGTGGCCACTTTTCATAGCCCCGATCACAGTGTGCATCTGTTATCCCCCTCATTGTGTCGCGAGCCAAGGAGGGTCCTTGCCACCAATGGCAGTCATCTGGAAACAGATAGGCGGAGGACTAGTGCCGAGCCGCTGCTGCACGATGTATGGCGGGATGGTAACACCCCCGGGCAACGAATCAAATACAGCCCGTCTAGCTATGGTTCCCCAGCCGCCTCATCACATGGTGAGCCTGCCAGAAGGCCGCTCTTTGATTCGGCGGAGCTGGTACGGATAGGCGACAGTAATCCCTTCAGTTCATCCACCACACGAATAGATTCCCCCCACCCCCCATATACACCCGTCCACAAATGTCCTCCAACCGCAGTGTCACCGGTTGCTGGCCCGTCGCATTCTCGGCTCGGGCTTCTGGGGTGGAAGACTCGGAAGAGGCCGCAAGACATGCCACCGCCACGGTCATCAGGGGCAGAGGGTAAAGGCATTCTATACGAGATGGGAACACCGGCAACTGTGTACTATTTGCCTTTGCCCCGCGCGCGTCGGCTTTTTAAGCAATACCTTGACAGTCATCCTCACTTCGTCTATGCAAGACTGACCTCTAGAGGGCATCGCCTAGTTGATCCGGCCGCCGTTCCTAGCCACCTGAAAGATGCTGTTGTGATAGCTGGCCCAAAGCAGTTAATGTCCCTATGTGATGAAGAGGACGCACTGATGGAAGAAAAGGAAGAGCGCCAGCCACAAAATGCGCAGGCCTAAGAACATCATAGCATGAACAGTGGCGGAACAGGAAATTTAATTTATGTTTATTATCTACGTTTTCAGCTGTATAGTAGCCCATGTACGTGTAATCACGCAGATGTGAAACGTCCGGCAAGTCTTACACAGCCAAGTCTGGACCATGCCTTTGGATACATACGCAGGTTTGCATGTTCAAAATCGGTAATAGTATACGTACTATTGCGATACCCACCTGGTCTTGGTCAACACTAGATACAATCAAGGTAGTACCCTAGACCCCAAGAAGGGCGATTCAGTCGTGCCTTGTCTGTTCTTCGGTGAGAGAAGCTCGGCGAGGTTAGGAGCAAGCGCCATAAGCTGGAGTGCCAAATCGTATAGCCAGTGTCACCCGGAAATTGCGCGCTAACGGGCCCGCTAATATACCTCACGCTACTTCTCATATCTTCATGCAGAGTTGGCTTGTGGCACTCCTTGAAATAGGCATCACTGCGCAATTCCATTCGCTTGGAGCCCCAGAAGTTGCCATTACAGCCATTACCACAGAATGGACGATCGGTGGTCAGATGCAGAAATCATTATATTGATTTACTTCACATCTCGCGGGTTCACTGATCTTGCTGTCTCACACGTCCTTCACGTTCGTGGTTATTGGCGCCCACCTTCAGCGGTCTGGCAGATGCTACAGGTGATCCTGGAGCAATACCCTTATCTTCAGACCAAAACTGGACACTGGGATATTCACCAAGTCGATGAGTGGATTGATTCATTAAGCATGGAGCATGAGGCGGTCAACTGGCTCATCTCGTGTACAAACATTGATGCAGCTATTGCTGAGGAGGTAAGCGAGACACAGACCGTTCTGGTGCGCGGCTGACCGAACGAACGCTAGCAAGGACTACTGGAAACGCTTCTGGGAAACCTTGCCTATATCTGTTCAAGGCGCGCACCAATTACTGCGTCGTCCGATCAAAATCCAATACAATAACTGCTCCTTGCACCTGCGCTTCCAAGAAAAGGATCATAATCGCGTATAAGAAGCAATGCCTATACATCTAATCAGGAGCACAAAGCTTTATGTCTATGTTTCTGACGATACTGTCACCATCGGCAGGACTGTTTTGATTTCATCGACGTCTATGCTATTACCGCCTTTACCAGTTGATTGTATAGTTACGAATGTACAGTACTGTTGCAATGTTCTGAATGATTGCGGATATTATTAGCTACACTCAACAGGTAGCGCCCCTGTTTTCACCTCAAGTCGTACCTGGTACATTTTGAACTAGAAGCGCGCGGGCTCGTTGCCTAACTTTATAGAAAAGAAATCTGCGTACTCTTGATCAATCTGGCGCAGAGCTTCTGCAAAAGCTGTGTGGGCTCTCTGAAGCCTAGTATAATTGTCGTCAAGCCGGTTCAGTGCGAGCTCGAGATCTTCAAGTGCGGTGCAGAGGAGGCTCGCGCTGGATACTGCTGGTAACCCAAACACGCTCCGTCGCCGCCAGATTGACCGTCTGCTCTGCTGGGCAGTAGCTTGCTGAATCTGCTGAATACATACGCGCAACTGCCGTACGGAGTCATGACTGAGTAGAATGGACGCGATATCGGCCTGAAACAGAATAGCGGCGCGCCGTACTTTCCGGTAGTAGGCGTTTTCCGCTCGGAGGTACGAGGCCTCGTAAACCGCGCGTATCAGTTGTTCCCGTTCATTGGCTGAATCTTTCTTCGCCCACTGTAATCGACAAGGCATCAAATCGATGGCAGAGCTGTGGCCGCCGTGTTGTACAATCTGGAATTCCACTGATGTAGGTCGGTCAGGGTGATCCCAGTCGCCCCAAGTACTAGATGACCTGGTCTGCCGGCGGAGGGCCTGTATCCAGTTGAGCCCGGATGAGAGAGGATGCATGGATTAGTCCAGTAAAAGGCTTGGCAGAGAGGTTAGTAGAAAGGTCCAGAGTCTGGTCACGCAGCTGTATAGAAATAACTGATCTCCCACCTAGCCTCGCGACCATGAGCGCGCTGCTGTAACATTAATGTCGCCAGTTACTCGTTGTCCATGCCGCTTCCTACTGCAGATCCTTATTACAATACCGTCCGTTCTCCAGTCAGAGTATGCGCTACAGGACTAGGAGCTCTATCGAGTTAGCGTAGAATCGATTCCTTCGAGTACCTGAACAGCTCGGTCTCTCTCTAAAGCATATGCATTCGAGAAACAACAGCTGGAATATGAAGACCTGTAAAACGGATTCCAAAAATGGCCACTCCAACAACTAGTCACTGTACTGCTATCTTTCGAACTGTATTTTAGAGTTAAGCAGGCACTCCAGCATCCTCTTGCATACCTTATCGCCTTTTTCTACACTTGACAAGTATTATTTGGCCTTAATATATGCCCTAGTAACTGTAGCAATTATCTTCTATATTTTCTTGGATCTAATAATTAGGGCACTGCTGGAATAACTATCTTTGCAGCCAAAACCAGCTTTCCTCGGAATTTAACCACTTGTGTTCTGTATAACTACCTAATTTCTATCCTATTTTCCTTCACTTTCTTCCAGCCTCCCAATCTCGCCCCCATTCTAGCACCTTACTCCTCGCTTACCCTCAGTTTCCAGGTGAGAAAAAACCAGCACAGTGCCTTATTTCTACCCAATACTCACCTTTATTAGTTAATAGGTTTTGTCTTCCCCCGGCCAATCCCGGCATATACCAGCACTGGAAGAAACTCATCCTCTATAAGAAAACTCAAGCCAGGCCTGAGCAGTTCCGCAGTCTGGGATAGCTGCCCCGAAACTTCAAGCCTCTGATACTGAAAGACCTTGTTACAGTCAGAAAATACTAGAGAAAGTATGTATATCTATATTCCGAATTATACTTTCTAAATGCAACCTGAACACCAATAGATACTGCATCCGTTCGAAAGCATACTAGAGAGTCTATCCACTCTTGGAGGACCAAGCAATACACATAAATAGCTCATTTGGATATTGACGACCTCGTAAAAGAAAAGCCTCCAGTCATATAATAAATATTAGCACCACCTCTGCCAGTATCTCAGCTTATTTACCCAGCACCGCCCGAAAAACAAGACTTATATACAGATATATCAGATACACATCCATATATAGTCCCATATATGTAAATAATCTCAATAATAGTATTTTCATTAAGTACTTCTTACTGAGCGCAAGCTAACAAGGCATTTCAAAGCTAATAACACGCTAGATCGGAAGACTTCAATTTTACCTATTACGACCACTAAACATATTCATGAATTCTCCATCAGAATATAATCCATCAATTTGGCACAATCCGGCTCTGGAACCAGAAGGAAAAAGAAAAACTTGACTTAAAGCAACGATCATCAAAGAACATAGAAAAACAACAAACAAAAGGAAAAGCGGGGGGCTTTGTAGGCCGGACAAGAAGCAGGCAGGGTTATTTCCTAGGTATGTATCTTACTTTTCTAGTACTTCCACTCCAACCCCTCCTTTGTTTGATCGCATATATCAAGCACCCCCTGAGTATTCCCACTGTTGCAGTCCCAAAACCATAATGTTTTCAAGCTACTTGGACATACAACATGGCGACTTCTCCTCCCATGAGTCTGGTTCCAAGCCTTCGACTTTCAGCCGTCCAGCGACCTCTCAACCACGCTGCAGCTACCCCCAGACATAACAATTGGCAATGGTATTGAGCAGACATCCGAATCAGAGCCTAATAGCTGGGACGATGATCAAATATGCCATCCACAATGTCCGCCACCCTCCGCAGATGCAGTATCAAATTGATCTTGGCTCAGCGGTCGTGCGGTTCTATCACCCCGTATCTCCCACCAAGCTGATGATGGTGGCTTTGCGAGAGGTGTGTCGGCAAGGGATGGTCCACCCGGCGCATTGAGTCTCTCCAGGGTGATAAGCCTACGGCTTCGAGGGATCTGTTCTAGGTAGGTGCCTAAAAATGCAGGCTATATATGGAGTAAATAGGAAGCACTCATAATAATGGTGGGGTTGTCAGGATCACCCAGATCTCAATAGAAGGCGTGAAACTCCGAACGAGCTGGCGGCCCGCGCCTGAGCCCAAACCAATCGACCTCACGAAACCCGAGACAGATAGCCATCCAGATTGAATCTCCTACCACTGCGCCTTCTATTCGGATGGGTTCCGCCGGGACATTCCTACGCCAAGACTATAATCCCGAGAAACCCGCGCAGCGAAGACATTTTTGTCGAGCAGTGGATTGAGCCGGGCTTTGACTGCCACCCGCAGGTCTCTCTGGTTTGCAAAGGAAGGTCGACAAGATTGGGGAGCGCTAGAGAATGACGGCTGTAAGAGGCTCAAGGCCAGAATGGTCAATATGTCGTGTCTCGTTGGTATTGTCTACGGAGATCAAGCAACGGCTGGCTCCTAAGGGCGTTCGCTGGCTCTACCTGCGGAACGAATGCAAGCGCATTCTGGATAGACGAATGGATATAGAGGTATTTCTGTTTGGCAACAGGATGGATTCGATTGCGATCGATCATCAGACGGCGGCTCTTATTCCCACGGCCTTCAAGGTCCAGGGGTTGCGAACCTGCGGTCGGGGTTTATAAGTGACAGCTGCAACTTAGGCCTTTTTGTATAGTGATCTCCCCTGAACTCTCGTTCCAACGGAAATGGTACCCGTCACAAGTCCTGGTTACCAGCCTACCTACGATATGTCTATACTATCAATGGCCATCTATGCCTTTCTCTGTCCCTAATGTCCAGGACTTTTACACACACTGTGGTCTGAACTCTTACCTTCACTCTAATGCTCATTCATAAACCACCCATTCATGATCTTCCTGGATCTCCACTCATTCCACTCATCCATCGACCTTAACTCATTCTTCTCCGCGGGCTTCGAGGGTGGGACAATGCACCTACGAAGCACGACAACGACTCATCCTGTCAACATCTCTACTTCTCCATGCATTACTTTCTCAACTTCATCACCAAGAAGGGACAATAGTATCCGGCTATTACGTTGCTGTGGCAGACGAGTGACAATAAGTTGTAATACATGGTCCTCACATGGGGGGAGCTATGGACGTACTATTATCTGTTAAGATCTCTACCATTTCTACTCTCACACTCTACGCACCAGGGTAATCAGTTCTGTAAGATGCAATGAGCGTAGTCAAGGTTCGTGGGCACCGTCTGGAAACTATTTGTTATGTGCACCCCTATGTCTCAGCCATGCTGATAAGCGGCGGTTTCTCTAGCTGCATTAAGATGTTTTCTGTATAGTCAGGCCCACCTAGTACAGGATATGTTCTGGGTAGATATTATTCTATTATGGTAGGCGGACACGATTATTATTGTGACATTAGCTGATGCCAAGGGGGAGGGGGGTCAACCTGGCCGTAGCGCATCTTGCCAGGAAGATCGACATCCTGCATATGTACGAGGATTAGAGATCTCTTAATATCCTATACATGTCTGGGGATAAAGAAAGCAATATTGCCTTCGTAGGCAATGGCTACAGATTTGGGGCCGCCCATTGATTCCCAGCCGCGCCGTTAGATAATACATTTTCCCTTTTCTCCCTGATTACTGACCGCGATTTGCGTATTCTTGCCATGTCCATTCTATTGAAGCCCAATTACGGTTGTCCTGAACGGCTTCATTCCGGTCCGGTACCAAGGTTTCTTTCACTCTTTCAACGAGCTCGTCGAGGCCCGCGCCATCGGGGATACGGCGGGTGTCCAGGACAAACTCTGTGTCCACGCAACTTGTCAGTGCCGGCAAAGAAATGAGGACGTTGCTCCTTTAGATGTCGATACAAAGAATCAATATTTCTTTTCTAATGTACTTTTCGGAGGTGTTCATTTCCATCAGAAAATAAGGCACCTGTCAGGGAACAACAATACGTACCATATATCACCAATTGATTGCTTGTCAATCAACAAATATCTCATGGCCATGCCGGCCATTCCCTTCATAGCTCGACGACATTTGAACTCGAAAACGAGCAGGGAGTGATTCGAGAAATCTACTCAGGTCGGCGGAAACAGCGGAACCATTATTGGTATCTCGCCGGCATTTGAACTGAACTCAGACACTAGGACGAAGAGATATCGGAGAAACAGCCTACGGTTTAGCGGACCGATCCGAGGTCGTATTATTCATCGAGAGTAATACGCAGAATTAGATGTATCGGTCCGGGAAGCTTGACAAAGGCGGCGCTTTTTATTTGGTTTGTATCAGCATGATGAGGGAAGGTCTCCCCTAACACCATCACGTCAAGGAAGGGCACCGACGGCTACTTCTAACGCATGAAGTTGAATGAACATACGGGAAAGAACTGCACTGTAGCAACATCTAATCAATTAATCTATCCCTCAGTAAATGCAGATTCTCGGGTGGAAAGCAGCATCCTTCACGGCAGGCACAATGCATCACTATGTTAAAGTAACCAAAACTGAACGCGTACAACAAAGTATGTTCAGAAAGCCTGGCCCTCAAAGACCCACTTTTCTTGAAAACTAGTAGGTTTGCTCTTAGTAACTCGCAAGGTAGGACTGACGTGCAATGACGGTGAAGTTGCACATGTATGTTATGCATTCAGCCGTTTTGCCATCTGGTGCATCAGAGAAATAATGGTGCGCAACTGCCAGACAATACCGTGGTTGAACCGATCGACGCGCCACAAATGTTTGGCTGGATATATTGGTGGGTCTAGCGGATTGTCAACCGTGAAATTGCATGTTTCCTTGAACTACGCTCAACTAAGTGAATAACCACTGAATACAAAGATGAAAAAGCATCCAACCAATAATGGAACCCGTGAGCAATAGAGGATATTCTTGCGGACATTGAATATCAGAGCCCTTCCTTTATTATCTTGAACTTAACCCCACAATTGATTACCTTGCGTATTGTCAAATGGGCTTGTCCGGGCCAGTCGAAACTGAGCGATAGGTAAGTCTTGTTAGGCGCCAATAATGGGATAATGGTTACCGTAGGACCGTTCAATAAGTATATATATCACACGTACAAGCCCCGCTGCTACCATAGAATTCTCAAACGCAGCAAGGCACAATGAAGCTGGGCTTGATGATTATTTACATACTGTCTGCGGCAGTAGGCTCAGTAAGCGGGTCCTTCCTCTGTCTTTGGCAGTGTCTGTTGTCTCTTGTTGACGTTCCTCTAGATGGGAGCTGTCGAGAATGCTTCTTTTGTATATGACGCTAATATTGACAAATTGGTAAGTCGCGTCACCCAACGCCGAATACTTTGACATATATCTGACGGCAAAGGTGTTGAAAACGACTTCGTTTTCAGCGCCACAAAACCGATATGATAGAAGTCTTCCCCGGAGGGCATCTGTAAGTAGCAAGGGTTGGTGACGGCAGAGCTAATGAGCATACGCCTTCAGGATGCTGCGCCAACTTGTTCTATCGAATACGGAGCGGCCCCTCCAAATGAGACAGTCGCCAACATTGCCCATCTCTTCGACATTGCCGATTCTACGTGCAGTGTAGGCGCAGCTACTTGTGCGCGTGTGTCCCATGAAGGGAGCTCGTCAATTTTCTGGTGCAACTTTGTATGTAGTGAGGACCAGCAAGCGTCGAATCCAGATTATTGATATGAGCCTACAGGAAGGGGAGGTTATTTACATGAGGTGTGGAGATCTTGTTGAACCCACCGAGCAGGTCTCCGATGCTTGCCGTGTTGGCGACCGCTATACCTACGGCTATGTCTCCAGGAGCATGGTTGATGGGTCCCAAAGCTACCCGTATTTAGTGGTTATTGGTGGCGATTATGTATTTGAGGTCTAGCCAAAAGTCGAAGACCTGATGGTTAGGCCTACTGGGTTTGAAAATTCGCGGATAAGAAGTTCCTGAAATATTAGCCGTACGTAAAATTAGGGAAGTGTGACTGTCAAATTAGATTATCTCGCCCATGTCTGCAGAATTTGCTTGGTGAATTGAAATATCATCATATCAACTCTCCTAGTATTCGCTGTAAAGGATCCACAAGAACTTTGTGGAATTCAAGATCGGCCAATCAAACCGACGAGCAAAGCTATCCTGGGTCAACCGGCTGATATGGTATGGCTACGATTCAATGGGTCTTACCATATAATCTGTCTGGTCTTTTCATCTCCTGGCTGTAAATGATTGTGGTAGCTTCAAACGGCTGTATCTTCATCCTCTCAAATTCGTTCCGTAGACTTTACCATACAATTCGCATAAGCGGAAAAAGTATGGTAGTATAACACATCCACCGAAGTCGTGTGGACTATATAAGGACGCGGCCAGCCGCGAGGATAATATATGTAGAACGTTCTCCCGACTGATATCCTTAGTTAATAACGCAGAGCACAGGTAGGGGATACACTAAGATTTTGGATATGGACAACATATGAAAACAAGAGACAGTACGAAAGAGGAATAGCCAGGGAACTGGGTATACTAGTGGGAAAATGCTCGTCAACATATTCGTTCGAAACAGTGACTGGGCTTAAGGCTCCTCCTACAGAGCGGCAAATTTGGAGCGATGAACTCATCGCCAGGGCGTGGAATTGACGAATCTACCACCTGAGTCCTGGGCATGTATTTTATGACCGAGCGGGCGCAAGTAGTCTTCATACATCGTGCTATTTTATTAGATTAAGTAAGTGTCTTGCAGTTCTCATATTGAGTTCTTATTTAGGTTCTGGCTCAGCAATGCAATATGGACCACCTCACCTGGTGGGCCGTTTAAGCCAATAAGATACTAGGCTGAAAACGCAGACATTGGGGAACAACAGCGAGCCACGCCAGCCGTGATTACCAAAATTCTTTAGAAAAGTGAAGTCTATGTTTGGTCACCTTGCATTACTACCAAGCTATGTGCAGCTTCTCATGGGTCTACACACTTTTAATGCCTAGTCAAGATCTACTCATCAGACATCTGGTTGTCCCTATTTTTTTTTTTTTTTTTTTTTTTCAATGTCTGGTTGATGACTTTGGATAAAGAATCAACATCCCTCGGTGGGTCGAAGCTAGGCACAGTGGGTCCAGGTTGCTAGAGCCGGAATGACCACCACCCCGAGAAGCACCGAGGTTCAGTAGGACTGGAAATTGTGCTCCTAGCACACGAGCAAATTCGGGACAACCCCCTTTGCCGTCTTTGCTTAGCTGCCTCTAGGGAGACCCTATTCTTGACACACTGTGCGACTTGATCTCACAGTTCACGTGCTATTATGCTCTCAACTACTACACTGAAACAACCAAAGCGTCGTTGATAAGATGTATACCGGGAACAAGGTACCCGCACAACTTCTGGAACCAGTAATATGGTTGGCAGGGTGCCGGTACTTAGATAGGGCTCGCAAGAAGTGAGTTGGCAGCCAGTGACAGCGGCAGTAGTTAACAATAATGCTGACTGATGCTGTCAATTGGTGCGGAGACGGAGCTTGAGGATCAAGACGAGGAGCGCAAGCCGCTGCTGACGCTCCTCAATGCTGGTAATGACACGGCAGAGAAGTTAGAAGAGTAGCTTCTCGGCGATCGCGCTTAGTGGAACTGCAGGCGATGATCACGGGCCCAGTTCATGTACTCTTGTGGTCGCTCACACGGTTTAACTCGATCCAGGCTAGTGCATATTTGCCGGCCTTTCGTGACTATCCGGATAGAGTCTTTAGAAGGCTCAAAGCTAGTGGTCAACCTGGCCTGGGATGGATTAGCCCCATAAGTGGCGCAACCGATGAACATAAAGGGCATGACTCCACCAATCACTCTATAATTATTCCAACAGAAACGAGAGAACATTATAAGTTGGTCTCTGATCTTTGCAGGATATGGTCAATGACTTTCTAATTAATATATCGAACATGGATATAATAATCATGCAGCTAACCAAACATGAATGGGAGGGGGGCTTGACGTGACGATTAGTTGAATCTCCCGTTGATTTTAGCTTCCAGCGCTTAAGATTCAGTTCGCAGCACAGGTCTGGGGTCAGTAACCCTTCCATTCCGCTCCACTTCAGGGTAACCAACTAACCAAGCAACCAGCCAGCTGTACGACTCGTCCTGTCATACAAACTAAAAATATGAGAGCTCTTGAGAATTCGATGGAAAATCATGGAAGTCTTATCATTCGCACTGCGTACTTGATGCCTTTGCTAGCTAAACACTGGTTCCTGTACCTCCGCGGGTCGGTTCGTATCCTAGCCTGCGGCGTCTATTTCCCTCTAAGTGGACACTAACGCTGATCGAAGCTATCAAGAGGCGTGATTAACAATTCTGGCTTCAATAATGAATGTGCTTGTGCCCTTGTGAGTATTAGCTCATAAGCTCAGGCTGAGTGATGATTTAGCTGGGCGACTGGTTTCTGCCCACGCAGGCATTCCAATTCTGAACACCAATAGAGCAGCTCAGAGAGATTCCCTTGCCTCTCAGTATCAAAATTCTGTTTCGTTCTCTCCACAAAGTCACTTCTACATCCCCCCTCGCCCCATCGAATGGCGCGCTCCCGTGGTAGATGCCCTTACCGCTAGCCGGTTGGTTTCTCCAAGTCCCCTTTTGCGTGGTGCTGCCGATTGTTACTTCAGGCGTGGCATATTCAGTAAGGAAGGCGTAGTAGAAAATCCGATCCGCCACGACCTCTAGAGGGCTGAATTCAACCTGTGCATGACTTTACGTATTTTCTGAAGTTCCACCAGTACCGCAGGCAGATCCAGGGGTTGTGCGATACCACACTACCAGCGACTCCTGTTTCACTTCCGCATGGCCATTTTTATAAGTACCGATAATGAATGGCAGCAGGGTTCGCCATCCATCGTGTGGCATATACTCTTGTTTATGATGATCTGCAGGATGAATCTTACATCCTGCCCTGGGTAACAACAAGCGTTGGCTGGGCTTCCCAAGCATCTATTAAGCCGGTATGAGACCGATAATACGCGAGTAGCAGTGTCGTGGGTCCACCCTCATGAGTCGATAGCGGCAAAACCCATAAAATGGTCGTTTACCCCAGTTTAAATCACTTGGACCGTTAAGGCGAAGCATTAGATTCGCCCCATGTAGGGTATCTGACTTGACATGCAGAAGAATTCACGATACGGTTTGTTCATAGACTTTTACCGCTAGACGCAAATACAAATCCGATCCCACTTTAGTATGCGTTGGTTTATAGAGATCTCCTTTTGTATACTGCATACACTCTGATTCGGACTCAGTAAGGTTTTCGTAGTAGGCTATCCGTGACGCGAAGACATCATTCACTCTCTTACGTATGACGGCCGCCGCATTTACCCGAGATTTCTCTACTCTTTTTTTGACCTAGGTGCTCACAGTTAGAAGACGTCGACGGGCAAGGACATATACCTGTGCGGACTGCACATGCTCAGGAGGCGATCCGGAATGTTGTATTTGATGCATGGAGGGATATGATGCGAGAACATTGTTGTCTGCGTTCATTATTAGGATTACGTCCTCTACGACTCAGAGGAGGCTGTTTAGCTTTCACAGAAGCCACATTCGACAGTTAATCTTTGCTAAAATAATCCTGCAGTTCGGAAATGCTTGCGAAAGCACGGAGGGCATTGCTTCTGGCACGGCTTAGGAAGAACTTTGATTCCTTTATTGCTGAATGACGTAAATTTCAGGGAATGCACAACTTCAGCTAGTCTCCCAGGTCAAATTTGATATTCATCGGAATGATTCTGACACCGTTGCACAATGAAGAGCATTCAAATACTGGATCTAACGGGAAGAGAAGGCTCTATAAGACACGGTGATGCCATTCACAAGCTCAAGGGGTTAGAAGCTAGTCATTTAGTCGTCTTCTAGTCAAATAGGGCGCCCGGCGGTTAACATGTCTTGACGTTTGCTCACTTCTGATCGCTGTCTAATTCTACCGTCTGATATATAAATCTAAGTGAGCTGTATCTGTTAGGAAAGTGACTTGGCTTGCTTGTTCCATTCTCTCTCGTACTTTTAATCATCACCATTCTTGCATCCTACCCCGTATATTGTCGTACTGGGAAAGAGGGTAGTCCAGCTGATTCTGTTTCTGCTCCAACGCGCCAACGCCCCTGAGTGCTTCAACGACCTTGCCTATCTGTTAGCCACGTAAAATAGAGAGAGTATAGAGCATACTGTCGTTATCAGACTATCATTTCCTGGCTTATCTGCACTACTCTCTCACCACATGCCACCTCCAAGCCCTTTGAGCCTAATGTATTCCGCTTTTCATTTTGCAACCAGAGGACTATCGTAGCTGATAAAGGTCCGCTCTGAGTCGTAGCTGTAGCTTGCTATCATGCTGTCGTCTGTGTGTTCTTCGGCTCCCGGCCGCGGCAGAGCCTTGTAGTCCCAGACGCCATCCTCCCAGCTGCCGTCCCCTATGCCGGAAAAGGGTTTACCAGGGCCAATTGTATTTGTGAATTCCCGGCCATAAAGAGGCATACCCAGTACAATTTTGCTTGCTATGACTCCGCGGTTAAGGTAATTCTCGACAGCCTCTTCGGTATTGAACGGCGTGGACTGCTGGTTAGAGCTGCTCTTGAATATGTTTGCCTGATGTCCAGTGTATTCCGAAAATGTACCCCCTGCATAATCGTAAGCCATAAGAATCCAGAAGTCCAAAAAAGGGTCCATGTCTTCAATATGGAAAGTACTGATCTTTTGCGGATCTAGTCGAATTAGGAAACGTTCCCTGATATCTATGCATCATTTCGGAATACGTCTTGTCACCTACCAGCCGGGGATGCCACTGTAAGTAGGAACTTTTTCCCAGCCCCATGCTTCGCGCCATAATTGTCAAGGGCCTGGTTAAGAATTAAACCGGGAGCGTGGCAGGAGAAAGGAGGAGAAACGTATGGCCCTTAGCTCTCGTAAAAGGAGAGCAAAATCACTCGCCTCCCCATCATTTTCAGGATACTAAATTGGAATCGTTCCATTAGTAAACGTAACGCGGAGAGAAGAGACTGCTGTAACTTGCTTCCCAATCGATATCTAGCCCGTCCATCCCCAGGTCCTGAAGCAGCTTCACGGAACTCCGAGAGAATGTTTTCCGCCCTGCATCTGTGGCGGCTGGTGAAGGAAAATTTGGAGAATATGTCCATCCTCCAATGGATAGAAGCATTTTTAGATTCCGGTTTCTTTTCTTCAACAAATATAAATGATTCACGCATCCATATACATTGTTACCCGCCTCAGACCAGGGATCACCGGGGTAATGCTTCTCCACATCTGCATAGGTATCAGAAAGATACACATCTCCAGTATCATTCCGTACATTTGCAAATGCATAGAGGACATGAGTAAGCCTCTCAACAGGAAGGTCTTGCGGATCAAACTTTCGGCCATATATTCCCTAGGTGGATAGTTAGTCAGTTTCCTGCTATGCGTCCTTTGAATTATCTCAAAGATATCTTGCCCAGTTGACGAAGTAGGCAACGGATTTATAATTAGGGCTTGAACTGGCTCCAGTGCCATTTCTTAGTAACGTGGAGCTACTCCCACCTGCAGCATTTGCAAGACAAAACTGCTCAGAAAGAATAAGATCCCCGAGGAATAGAGAGCAAAGGCTGAGACCGCCGTATATTATAAGGAATCTGTACACAATTCCAGCCTTGGCTGAGAGTCTACTCATTCTTTTCTTTAAATATCTCCGAAATTCAGCATTATATTCAGACTTATGAACAGACTGGCGAAGAGAAAACGATGCATTTTTGTGGCCTCGCTGCTCTATTCGCAAGATAATAGCACAGCTGGATGTTTTAGCCCCTCACATTGCTAACAAGAACCCAACACTTTTAGTAGTTCAGGACATTTCATCGGCTCTGATGATCGTAGCCCACGTATCGGTGGAGGGGGTTATTTATCAATAGGCCAAAATACGGATCCGTACCTAGTTTAGAGTATGGTGGCAATGTACTATGCGACGATCGTGATTACTTAAGCCTCCTATCGCCTGGACCCGTTCTCCTTTCCGCCAGGACCGCGGCGAGATACACCTCGAGAGCGAGACATCTATAGTAGTTACTCTACCAATCTTAGATTCTCGGAATATTGGATTGCTTCTACCAGAGAACTACCCGTGATCGGTTAAATCACCGACAGAGAATTATCAAGCTTACGAACTATCTATCGGTTTAGACCAGGTGTACATACAGCATATACACAAGGATTGTTTCGTGCAGGAGGACAAATGTAGCAAGTAACTTTCGATGCATGCCTCCTTGCTGTAATTATCTCTCCGCTTAGTTCTGTATACCGTAGGTCATGCCCGCTGATTGTTGATAGCCTTCCTGCTCTGCAGACGGGTGGTGCTTTGTCTCCCAGTCCAGCTGGCGTAAAATCCAGCAAGAGCAACACCACGCTGCGAAACAATCTGTTAGGCCGTTGCCCTTGATTTTGTACTTTTTCCGGATTGCGTAACGACGAAATCCCAAAGGGATGCATGGAAGACCAAGAACACAACCCACTGTGAAATACATGCAGCACTGCAGTACTGTTCAGCAGGTGTGCTCAATATTTCTTTTTCGAATACTTACATCCCAACCACATCTTTGAGCGTCGTGGCCCTTGAACTGACCGCCTATTCGGTTGAACAGACAGCAGGGAGCAAATGTTGCACAAAGACCTATGGGATAAACTAGTTGGTGATTGCTGTGTGCCAGGGCAAGGGTAAACTTACACACGTCGCAGGAAGAGGAGCAGTCACAGACTCCCCGTTGCCACGCAACGTTTCCTTGAGCCATCGTGGAGCGTTGTAGACGGTCCCTGAACTGTGAGTGGAGGAGTGCTCACTGGAGAGTTTCAGGGATAAGTCCTTCATATATGGCACCATCAAAGCTGAATCTCTAAAAGAACGGACTTTGTTTCCTACTGTCCTCTCATGATATGATCCAATTCAGACTGGAAGCGAAGATAATCGTTTCGGACTGAAACGCATATCATTCTAGTTATTTATACTCTCCTCTCGTGCAAATTCACAGGTCCACCAATCATCTACCGTCTATATTCATTCATGTTGTTAATCACAAGTTTCTCTAACAAGTTAGATTTGTCACCTGCACGGAGAGGACGTTCGAGGTTCAACCGAAAGCCGCCATTATCAGCCGTCATCCGTAGCTCCACGGCATTGTCGCGCCCGCGGTCATACCATTGGAATGTAGAGTGCGACAAAAATGTGCTGATTTGGATAAATTATATAAGCAGTCTCTTTGAAAGCAGCAGATATTTCGCAATAAGCTACTATCACAAAGTAAATATAGTCTACATTAAAATAGCGGGAGAGCAATATATTCAAATCTAGGATTTATCCATCTATAAAAAACCACCTGTAATGGTCAACTTGAACTATAACTATAGTTATACTATACTGGTTGATCACCTTCAGTGTTAATACATAGTACAAGTTTAGGTCTCTATCAGATGTTAAATATTATAATACTTATTTACCATTCCTCTTATATTAAGCAACCTATTATTCTCTGCCGTAGAGAGTAGAAATTTACAACCATTATTCCAACTAGCCACGCACCGCTAACCCAGTAAGGCAAGATGTAATTTGGGAGGCATGTATAGCACCTCATTCTAAGTGGGCCAGACAGTTGATCATTAATTGATCACAGTGGACCACGCTTCACTGAAATTCTCTTCTCGGTTAGCTAAGTCCAGCTAGACCAGAAAAGTGGGGAGGGCGCTTTCTGGGGCTTGCTTGGTGGTCAACATAAGTGGGTTCAAAGGTCTGGTCACAGTCTCAGGTTCAACGTTAGATTATCCGGTCCTTCGGGTGCACCATGTGTGAGGATTCTGGATCTCACATTCACCTGCAAGCTTATAAGTGTGCGCGTTCTGAGTCTATTGACTCAGAATTCTAGTCTTTTACCGGATAGGCGAGCGCTATCGCGCCCGGAGAATTCACTGCCTAAAGCGCACTAGGTCGGATTCTGACACCATGGTTGGTACGGCTGAGCAGTATTGAGCGAAACCAACAGCACTCCATCATCAGACCCTTGTGAAGTTGAGCACCGACAACAACGCCTTTCCATTCCGACGGTGGGGGTTCTTTGCGGGTTGAAGATCTATCTTCAGCTGTCTTTCAGTATTGAATCATATTTGCAATTATGGTAAGGCGCATAGTGACAGCATGTGAACTCATATGATTGATATACTCAAACAGCGCAGGTCATTTTCAACCCTGAAGATAGGTCTCTGGGAAAAGTTATGAATATGCCGGAGGTCCGGCAAGCCCGAACAGTTCGAGTCATATTTTCTTTTCTTCCGTTGACACTGAGGCAAACATTAGGCACCTCAATCACTTCCAGTAGAAGCATTGACGCCGTGGCTGTCAATTTAGTTCATCCGTATATGACTGGGGGCACTTCATCTGGCGCCCATCTGCAGAAAGACCGGCCATGAATAGCGTTCTCAAATTAACGCCTTGACTATCGATATTGGACCATCTGTATATGACTGGAAACACTTTGCGATCTGGGTTATATCAATGGTTTCTGGCACCTGTGCTTGTACTTCAACAGCACCAACATCACGTCAGGTAGCGACAGTTGTGACGAAGGTTGCTAGACTTCCCCGATTCCTAGGCGGCAGTCGTTATTGGGCAGTGTTAGGTATCTTCAAGACAGACATAGATCTGGTCGGATGAAGGATTTCTCTCGGAACGCTGTACCATAGGGACTCTCTAATTCTAGTTAGCATCCAGCTTTGTGAGGCCAAGGTCCCAAACATACCATGCCCTGAGAATCAACTTGTGGAGTCAAGCTCTGCTGTTGGCTATAGGTTTCTTTATTGTTATTGAAACAATTCGGGACTATGTGTAGACCTAGCAACCTTGCAGGCCTTTCGATCCGTCTTAAGGTGGGGAGCCGGCGCCTATGATTGTCAGTTATATGCTGTTGGACCTCTCTCCACTCAGGGTATGTATATCTCACCATTTCAGCCCACTGCCCGTGTAGTGTACTTGAAGGAATGCCATTAGTAAATCCACATTCCGTCAGCTCCAGTCGGAACACGTGATTATATATGTCTTTGAAGATACGGGTGTCCGTTAATTTTGAAGTCGCGGGGTCATATAATCAAGACCAGCCTCGACCTCCATCACAGTAAATTCAGTATGCCACAAAAATATCAGGTATATAAACTCTACCACTAAAAGTGGGGTGAGTGAAGAATATTGCAGTGAGCAAAAGAGTTCACCCAATATCAAAGATATACTTAGTGACATGTTTTTCAGACGTATCAAAATTATACCCAGTGGATTCGTCCTTGATGTCAATGTCATGACGTAGAGTTGACAACTCGGAAACCACCAACCACCACATAAGACAGCGACATGAAGGTCCCCAATAAGAAAGGGACCCGGAGGCCCTAGTCTTTTGATAAAGTATAAGACAGAGCCACGGAGGTCCCGCCTAGAGGAAGATGATGAAGAGGAAAAATAGAAGATAGATGGGAGGAAGAGGAAGTTTATATAGACAAAAAACCTTTAGTGAAGCTACGACAGTGAAGCTACGATAGTGAAGCTACAATAGGGAAGTTACGATAGTGAAGCCACCAAAAAGTGACAGCCAGTAAGCAAGCAAAGTCACCGAGCAGTAAGGGAAGTCATCAAAGAGTCACTATGGAAGTTAGCAAGCAGAGGCATCACGCAGCAGAATCTATCCTCACCGCTCAGCAGAATCTATCCGCAAGCGGTGAGGCTTATCAACCAATCAGAAAGGCGAAATAGCGCAAGTCACGGGATGCCAAGACGGATGCAAGAAACCACCAATAATAAGGAAGTAAGCCACGCATTGAAATGTACACTATTATGATGATTTGTACACTATTATGATGATTATGACTATATGATGATTAAGATGGTGCATCCAACTATTCCCGGGGCTGAGGAGTTTCACTATCAGATCTGGCCGGAGGACAAAACTGACTCCTGAGATGAAAGTTTCGGGCATCCTGAACCATCTACGCACTGGCGACATGTACGACGGTCTCGTCATTTCTCTACCATGGTATGACTTACAACTTAGTACAGCGACTGGTACCTGGAGGCTCCTGGAGTGTTTTACGAAAGAGACTTGACAAGTTCCGTGATTAGTGTCTCGCAGAATGTGAAGAGAGAAAATTTGCAACACTTTTGCAATCGAGTATACAACCTCCGAATTACCTATATCAAAGGTACTTGGGTTCCTCGATTGCATGTTCCCAAACAATGACACGACTCGTGCCCGAAAAAGGCGCATCACTTCATGGCATTACCTTGGTTAACAATGCAGCCGCTGGTGCTTGAACCGTTTTTGTGGTTTTTGTGAAGCTTCTTACAATTTCTTTGTGATATCACTTTCGACCCTTCACTGTGGAAGCAGCCCTGTGTCTCATTTTGTTGCAACTATGACTTTAATGAAATGGGCTGCATCAATAGCCGGTGCTATCTGAAAATGGATATCTACATCCGCGGGTATGGTGTTCTTTTATTCTTAGCAGATATGTAATTGGTCAATAGAGGTAGTAAGCCAATATCATTAGTGAGTATATAGTTAAGTAACCTGGCATTGAAAGTGCTCGACCTATGCCTACCCTTGCCCACTGAAATACAGATGGCGAAAAACTTAGATGTGCATTTCATTGACCTCAGGTTCGCCCCAACAACGGTACAGGTATCATTCCCGTTTCTGGTCCTCCCGAGTACTGCAGCAATCAGATCTAAATCTGCTTAGTATATTTCTCCCCAATTATGTCCGCGGGAAGAAATCCGATTTGAGGAGCACTATTGGCCTCCGCATATGATGTACGTGTCCAGAACCCTGCGGAAAGTAAAACCTTCACATGGGTACTTTCAGGAATATCGTTGCTCCTGTAGATCATTTGATTTCAGTAGGTAAAGTGACAGTAAGTGCGAGAGGTAGCTTACCGGCAATAATCATGCTGTTCGCCGACCCATAAGCTGATCTTTCCAAGTAGATGCATAAGCACCAGATAGACCGGTATAGGCCATGATCCATGGCAGTGGCCGACAGAAATAAGAGCAGCACCTAAGACAGACTCGGCGTACACAAAGGGAGAGTTAACATTTCTGACGAAATCTCTCGAAGGGCCCATTGTTCCCAAAATGAATATCAATGCACGCGTGTACACGAATCCATAGAGGGGCATCATGCTAGAATGGTAATGAACGGGATTTTGCGTGTAGTAGGCACGTATGACCAGTATGGGTCGCATTATTGATCCGGCCTGGTACGCTGGTCCTATTATTTAGATCAGCCATCCTGCCTCGAAGTTAGATTGCAGCACTACCCGCTCGCATCAACATACGTGTGTGAGGAGGGTAGCCGTTGGGGAGGTCTTGAACTAAAGCTAGGGATGTCACTGAATGCACACAGCATGCCGTAACCGCCGCTATCGAGCAATTAAAGTTCCCATAATAGAAGATCACTTCAAGTGCACCTGACAGGATATGCCACAGAAGCGCTAGCATATGTTAACTTTGAGATATCTCTCCGGATACTATTTGGCTTACCTTGATGGCGGGGCCGATATACTATTCCTTTATTTAGCGCATGGTAAAGAAGAAAAACTCCGTACAGGCCCAGGATGATCGGGTCATACTGATTTGTTTGAACGTGCTCACTCATTGTTGCGAACCATCTTAATAGAGATCGACAGATAGAGGTTGGCTTTTATATAGTGCGCGAGTAACGTGTATTTCTGTGTTGAAGGCCTAACGCCCAATATTGTTTGCCTTACTAAGTACGTTACCTGACAGTAGTAACTAGGTCACCTGCCACGGCGAGACAATGAAAGGCACGTGTTGATCGTTCGCTATAATCTCTCTCAGTTCAACCCGATAGAAGGCCTTGGCTCTCTGTATCAATGAACAGGTTTGTGCTACTTGACGAGATCGGACATCGATATTATGGCCCACGGTGGTCCTGGTGTCAACGTGTAATATGGGGTCCACTATATTTTAGAGGTATTGCCATGCAAGGCATGCCGATTGGTAGATAGTGTCAAGACCAGTCTGATTCACGGGACGACAGCTCTATTCCATAGCCAACGAAATGCGTTAGTTATAGTTCAACTGATATCAACATCAGCTGTATTGGATCTTCGCACACAACATTTCATTGGCCAGGCCATTAATTGAGCACTAGAGCCCGCCAAAAGGTCAGATCCACTGCACGTAGTTACACCACGGTAGGCTCGTCTGCAACTTTTCTTGATGAAAATGCTTAGCAGGAGATCTATGAACCCAATACTATCAATTGCAACACTTTTCATCTGCTTGTTATAACCCACGCCGCTGGAGATGCACCAGTCCAGCACCTGGCAGCTGACAATGTGCTTGCGTGTGGACGTGGACCTGGGCGTGATATTGGCTCCAGGAAAGATGCATGGAGGGTTGACATATGAACAGGTAGCTACATAGCCCCAAGAGACAAGACATCGTCCGTCTGAATCTATTTTGTGTTACTGTGGTTGAATTTACGTCAACCATGTCCAAGGCCGTCTTGTCTGCACCAGAGGAGCCAACTCGGTACCCAGACGCTCCTTCAACGTGGTATAATGCTCGAGGCCACATATTCATGTGCTTTGGCTGGCCTTCATCTGCTGGAGGACCACCTCCAGCATCGTACCATGACCTCGAGGAAAAGTCCCAGTTCGCGAACCAGACATTTATTGGGGGCTTACAAGTCTGTGTTATTGTCCAATACCTGGAAAGCCCAATCGGTTGGTGATTTTAGTCACAGGTAATGAGTCACACTACTGACTCTCGGAAATATAAAGGCGAATATGATGAGCTTCTATGGATTCCTGGAGCTTTTCAGAACCCTTGGACAGGAAAGCAGACATATCGAGCTACTCGAGCTTATGTTTCCATGGCAGCCTCTCTATATAATGGTTAGTGTCCACAACATCACCTTTCTCCTTGTGTGCAGCAGAGCATAGAACCAGGTTAGACGAGACATAGAGCTAATTTAGTTTAGGACGCAAGAATTGGAACGTTACAAGAATAGTGAGTGGATCATGTCAGTGCTTGGTTATACTTGCATTAAACACAACACTTCCCGAATAGTGCACGAAGTTCGAATTTACTCCATCGGTGGCAGGGCACCTTCCATACAGTCGCATATGAGTATTGCCATATGATGGGAAGGAACCATTCATGGAACTCGATTTTGAACCAATACTTTTCAAGTCCAGACCATTTCTACCTATCAATACCAAATACATCCCTATAGATTTTAGTTTCGACTTTCCTCCTCTCCCACAAAGTGAGGAAGAAGGGTTGGTCGGGACGTGCGAGTGGAAGCGAGTCCTTCTAGAAATATCTGGTAAGGCTGGAATGGTCAGGGTAAAAGGGACAACGGGCGACGGCATTAATTATCCGCGACTGAACAACGGGGGGTATTGGTTGTGGGTAAAGGACGCCAAAATTCGGATTGAAGGGGCTCAGGTACGATCGAAAGAGTGATCCAAGATAGAAGACATTCACTGTACTGTATCAACAAGCTTAGACCTCCATTTGCAGCTCACGGCAGAGAACCTGTCAGTCTTAAAAGACCGCTATTCTGTTTTTGAACGGAAGCCCAATCCACAATGTCGGGTTGCTCCAGACGTTGTTTCCTCAAGGCCTTCGCCGCAGTCGTAGAAGGGTGTCTGCAAAGATCACGTTTGTCCGATGAGAGACTTCGAGACGCCGAGGCTGAGTAGATACCATGATCCTTGGCTTTTACAGTACATGCTAGGCGACGTAGACTGACTCCAATTGACAGGGCATAGAGTACTGTCTTATCATTGACATCCATGGTCGCTCCAATTATATGCAACGAAGGACACAGCAACTGCAGCCACTATGCATGTTAGGCAACCACCTTGGTAACTACGACTTTCAGGTGTGGCCCACGATACTCTCGCAGAAAACAATGCTGTCACATACAGTCATGTATGAGGGTCATCGCTAATCAGCTTCATGAGATGTGACGGAACCATGTTGGTTTCCGAGGGGAGACTGAGTCAAGGTGACCACTTGCGAATCGTATCTATCTTCGAAGCTGTATTAGCTGTAAGCTGTTCTCTACGTCAAAATCCGTCATGATGCCTTAGTGTAGAGACAGCTAATATCAAACGGAAAGCGCCAACTATAGGCGCACTTTGTAACTGAAGTACTCAATTAGGTACCTCGTTACTTATATGCTGACAATGCTATCAGATTCCTCCGATTGATCATGTCCCATGTGCGGGCCTGCTTCAGAGTTTAACTCATACCTATCCTTAAAGCCAACTAACAGCCCTTGGATGACAAATCTTCCCAGTTTAGTTAGTTACTTCAGTCTCCTCTCCCTTCAGCCAGACTTTTAACCTCGTAAAGTCTCAGACTCAAGAAGCCAGAGAAACGTCCTCCCTCATAATCTAAGCTGCGCATCTGAGACCCAGTGGCTGCCACCAGCACAGCGGTAACCGCCAGTTTGTTTTATCCAGCGGTAGCCCATGACACAGACTCCCATTTCCCGCAATTTTGCCTGCGCTTGCTGCTCTCGGCGGCGATTTCGTTCCACCTGCTCTCTCTGTTTGCGGATTTTTTCCAGTTCCTCTTCCCGTGCCCTTCTTTCTAGCTCGCGTTGCAGGCGGGTTTGTTCATGGCGGGCCCTAGTCTCCTCATGGCCACTTCGCCGTGCTTCTTCCACTTCCCGAACCACAATGTCCTCGTCTTCCTTCGCTTTCCGAAGAGCCTTTGCCTGCTTCTCTTCGGCCGCTCTCAGGTCCAGATATTCCTTTTCTCGAGCTTCAGCAGCGGCCTTGTCCTGCTGGAGTTGGCTCCACACTTCATCCGTGACTTCAGTATCTCGCGGACCAGTATCTGTAGGTGGGAGGCCGGAGAGTGAACGATGTTTTGCATCCGATTTATTGCTCGTTGCCATTTCCGTATTCGAGGAGCTATGGCTATTGACTCGAACAGGCAAACTGAGAGATGTTGCCTCAGCTTTATCCTGCGACGGTAGATGGTGCGTGCGCTGACATTGTTCTCTCTTCAAGCGTTCGGTCACCATTTGATCCAAACATTGGAGTACAGCCGTTTCAGTAATAATAAGGCAATTCCGATCGCTACCTTGGAGAACCTTTCTGAAAATGTCCTTGGCAAGGATATCGATGTCACGTGCATTTGCCCAGCTGGCGGTTATGGAGAGTAGATTGAAATGTTGACTCAGATCTCTACGGAAATCGTCTCGTGGGTGCTCAAGAACACCAAGATCAAATTCCACATTCGACTTATCTTGCATATCCTTTTTGCGCTTCTGGAACAAAGATGTCAGGAGAGCGATGCAATCAGGAGCAGATAAGGAGTTGAACTGTAATGACTCTGGGAAGCGGCTAGTAAGTCCTGGATTAATCGCCATTAAGCGGTTGATGTCGGCATCGTAACCGGCGAGAATAATAATCAGTCTTTGCGCAAATTGGGGCTTTGTTATGCGGTCCACCATCTCGTCCATGGCCTGTTGCCCAAATTGTCCATCGGCAAGCCGATATGCCTCGTCAATGAACAGAACCTTACCAAGCGCACGTTCAAGGGCTTTTTGCGTCTTCGGACCAGTCTGCCCTACGTATTGTCCAACCAAATCTGTAGTTGAGACCTCAACGACATCTGCCGAAGCCAGCAATCCCATATCGTAGTATATTTGCCCCATTTTTCTTGCCGTACTGGTTTTCCCCGTACCTATTGGAGACCAATATCAGAATGCTCTTTTGAAAACTGCTTGACCCGATGAGATCCTTACCTGGAGGACCACGGAAAAGAAAGTTAAAAGGCACTTCCTTGCGAGGATCACATTCCAACTGTGTCATCTTCCTCACAATTTCCCTGTAACCTTCTAGCTTCGCAATAATCTCGTCACATCCTACCACACCCTGAAATAACCTTGCCACATTCTTGTCATCTCTCTCCCTACGGTCGAAGTCTTCGTCAAAATCTTCGGCATCCAAGGTAGAGTGCAGCGGACCTGCCACATGCCGCATACAAGAGATCCGTCTCTGATGCCGCATTTTTGCGGAGTTGAGCAGAATGTCGACCTCCCCTGCATTTCCGAAATTAGGCCGATTCCGTGCTCGTTCTAACATCTCCAAGGCTACCCTTCGACCACGTTCAGTGACATTGAACCCTTGCTCTTTCAACTTCATGGTAAGGATCTGGTCCAATTCCTCCTTGGTAAAGTCCTGAAATTCCAACGCCTGATCTAGCGGGAACCGTCGACTGAGGCCTGGATTGACGTTCTGAAACATCTGCTGCATCTGTTCCCGGTAACCCAAAAGCAGAACACATCGATCTTCGCCGGCCGTGCTCTGCACCTCCGCCACGATAGTGTCCACCACGGCACTCCGGTATTGGTCACTTTTCGCGCCAGTGCCGTCAGAAGTGCCCCCTGCAAAGAGGCCATAGGCTTCATCGATGACCAAAACTTTACCTAAAGTAGACGCAAGTATGCCTTTAGTGTTCTTCTCAGACTCGCCAATCACGCTGCCAACAAAATCGGAAGGATTCTTTACCACCACTAGCGAGCTTGTCAGAGATGGCAAATGCAGCCACTTATGACTTATTCACATACCTTCGCCGTTAGATAACATCCCAATATCGACCAATATTTGACCGTAAAGTTTCGCAACTGTTGTTTTACCAGTCCCAGGTGACCCCAGGAAGACCCTGTTCAGTGTAAACTCGACCGGGGGCAGTTCTTGCAATTCACGTTGGGAGTTGTACTGGATACTGTCCAGCAGTGACTGAACAGTCGTCTTCACTGACCCCAAACCAATCATGCTTTTCAGTTTTCGCCACGCAGACGAACTCTCCAGCGCCCGAGATGGCTCGGGCCCTATGAGATCCTCCTTCGTCAACAAAAAGTCATCTGATTGACCAACCCGGTTTAGCCTTTCCCATTTGAGTCTTTCGGACTGTCGCTCTGCAATTCTGGCCCTGATATTTTCAATCGCCCTTGCATTGGCAAACCCCTCGCGGCCACGGCCTCGTCCAACACGACGTGCGACGATGCGACTGTACAGTCCGCTCGGGCCATCCTCAACTTTCATTTGATTTTTATAGTGCTTCTTGATACTGTAATCAAAAATTTTTAATAATTCATCATCGTCATAGTCATTGAACTTGAGTTCATGAGGAAAGCGACTTGGCAACCCCGGATTATGGGAGAAAAATTTCTCCATCGGCTGCTGGTATCCGGCAAGTATGAACACAATCTTCCCTGTGAGATTCTCAACCTCTGCCAGGAGGAAATCTAGGACCTGTGTTCCTCCGAAGCTGCTTCCCTGCGCAAGTTGATATGCTTCGTCAATAAACAATGCGCCTCCACCGGTGTTCAGAATCTTTTCGAGGGTCTTCTGGCACCCTGAGACACCATCGTTTGCCAGCCTCGAACCGGTTGTCTCAATGAATGTATCGCCTGGGATAATTCCTACGGAGGCCAGGAAGCGAGCATAAAGTCGTGCCACTGTCGTCTTTCCTGTGCCGGGGTTTCCGAGCAAGACAGACCCGAACCTTTCGGTTTGGAGATCAACCCCCTGCCTAAAACACACATCGACCTTGGCCTTGAAAGTTAAAAATTTTTCCTTGATGGATTCAAGTCCGATCATTTCCATCAACGTGTCAATTTCCCGGCTTTGAGCACTGAGAAACGTTTTCTGGTACTCCCAATCATCCTTCGCAGCTGATGACGTCGTCGCAGACTTGTTCTGGCGACCTGTAACTCGACAGCTATTTTGAGGGACCCGTTCACCGGCGACTGAGTTGGTACTTGTGTCACTGATGCCTTTTGTTGCCACGGTGGTAGGAGCTGTCCGAATAGCTGGGTCCTCTCTCTTTGGGATGTTCTTGAGATGATGTACTTCATCCCAATGCTCACGAAGGACTCTCATCCGCTCGTCCTCTTCAGACTGATCCCGTTGCAGACGCCTCAAATACGCGATTTCATCCTGGGCTTCAGCAAGATGACGGGTGTATTCCCTTTGCCTTCTCTCTCTCTCTGCTTCAAGCTTGAGGTTCCGTTGCCGTTTGCGTTCTTTCGCCCGATCTTCCTCATTACAAAACCGACACGCCCCTTTGACCTGCGCGCAAGCCTGGGAACTGCAATGTCCACGCGAACAGGTCCATTCAACGATTCTGGTACAGTTCATCTTGGAATGGTCGACCAGCTGATGGCATCTTGACGGACATTCGTGGATCCCACACCCCAGCTTGACACCACTAAAATATGAAGTCAGCGTTAAAAGTAAGAATACCTTCAAATACCAAGTAATCATCACGGGGGAAGGTACCATGGTGCTGGGCAGCCGCCATCCGGACATTCACTTTCGAATTCATCCTTTGTTTTTAAAATAGCGGTCTTCTGGGGATGTTGTTCACACTTAACAGGTAATCCATCATAAAGGTGGCCGTTGGATTTCAGATGATCCATAAATGGCCTCCAGGTCTTTTCTCCCTTTCGACTTGAGACAAATGTCTTCGCGTTTCCCACAATTATTAAAACGTTTCGTGCCCGTGACAACAGGACAGTCAAACGTTGAGGAGCCGCCATAAACCCAATGTCACCGGTTTTATTACTTCGGGTTAGAGATGCGATGACAATCTCACATTCTTCACCTTGATAATTATCTATTGCCTTGATTAGAAAGCCAACCTCGAAAGTCTCGCCTGCATCCTACTTGCCTATCGTTGATAGCTTAATCCGCCGCTTTGAATGATTGGCCCCCGCTTGCGAGAGGAGGCCCGCCTTGACTAGGTCATATGAATCAAGGTCGTTCAGGACTGGGTCATTTTGTTTACTTAACATCTCTCGTAGCAGATGCAGCTGTCCCAGGTAAGGAGTCAAGACGACCAGCTTGTCGGTTCCATAACCCTGTTGGCCGAGGTACTTCACAACCTGTAATACAATCTCTGCTTCAAACGCATTCTTCTTGCTTTGCTTGGATCCTTCATCCCGTTTATCGGATAATTCCGCGAAACTGACTTCGGGGTGTTCATGCTGGAAGAAGATTACGCGATCCTGCAGTCCTCGCGGTCGGGGCCGGCTCAAAGTCTTTCGATCGTCTTCCAGGTTGGGATAGGTGAGACGTCGAACAAGCGTTGAGATTTCCGGACACATTCGGTGCTGTTTTAGTAAAGTTGTATGCGGATACCCGACATGGATCAGCCTTTCAAAAAGTGAAACGTTAAGATTGTACCCATCGCCTTTCTCGATACTCAATGCGTATTCGTTTATCTTGGGCCGGAGCTGCAGATGATCCCCGATCAACACCAACTGCCTTGTCTCTGGGGCCAATGCCGCAAGGACATGTGATTCGAGGATTTCGCCTGCTTCCTCAAGGAGGACGATTCCTGGAGAGACATTGCGAATGACCTTTGAATATTTAGCCGAGGCTGTAGTTGTGCAGCCGATAATGCGTTTGGATCGTAGAATATCCCTCGTCTTCTCGCCCAAAAGGCTCTCTAATCGACTGCAGCATTTGTTGAACTGCGCGGCATGGGTTTTCACAGTCGTGATCTGTTCGTCCAGTATTGCATGTTCCCAGACGCGGTGTTTCTCATTCCTCGCTTCCTTGCTCATTTCCCAAACACTGCGGCTGGCTTCAGGGAGGCGGTCCGCGAACACCCCGGCATCCATGCCTTTGACCCATCGCGCGTATAAATAATCTTTTCCAATTGCATGGCCTCCACTGCCAACTACCGTCATGCCATCTTCATCCTCTGGCGCCACAAGAGCATCGTATATTTCCGGTTCCTCAAATTCCAGATAGTCCATGACAATATGCGGAGTGATAACCATGTTTTGGTAGTCTGTAAATGCGGTATGCAGTGCCTCCTTATCTGCATACGCATCGCTTCTCTGTCTGTTTAGAATGTTCCATGATTCTGTTGACCTCTTATATGACGATCGCTGTTCAAACAAGCTGAGCGGCTGTGTCCGCGCTGTTGACTTTGAACCGATCCTAACGATGCCTGAAGGATCAATACCGACATCCAAAAGGTCCTCCAAAAACTGATCGAGAGCATGATTGGTGTAGCACATGACAAGAATCTTCTCCTTTGTATGGTCATGGAGGACTTTCGTCAGGAGGGCGCCGATGAATGATTTCCCAGTGCCTGTAAGCAACAGCATTATTCAATCTGGGTAGAACAAGAAGCCTTCGCGCCTACATACCTGGAGGACCTTGTATAAGGCTGACTCTCTTAGTCAACCCCGCAAGCAGTGACTCGAGCTGTGAGGTATCTAGTCTCACCGGCTTTGAGATTCCCAGAACGCTTTGCATATCGCCATTGCCATGCTCCTTAACTGCATTGACCACATTCAGAGAAACAATTTTTGATTCGTTCACGGACTGCCCTTCCTGTTGCAGGAATAATTCCTTCGTCAAGGGAAGGTCCACCGTCTCTTGAAGGCATTTCAAAATGGGCTCGTAGGCGAACATGGGTGTGTCCACAAGAACGAAATGTACGTCGCTGTATAGCTTGAGATATAATAGCGTTTTCTTAAAGGCTTCATCTCCAGCAATCCGGAGCATAACTATCGGTGGCTCAGCGACAAGAGCATCTTCATCTCTTTCTATGGTAGCGAAGGCCACGATTTCGGCTCCCCGGGTCAAGCACCCGAAGGCTTGGTGCTTCACAAAATTTCGGTTTTCCTTCACATACGATACGCGTTTCTCCTTTGAAAGTTGGCTGATGTTCTCGAGACCAGACTTACAGCTCACTCCCAGGCAGCATGTATGAAGTCGTATGTCATTGTCTCTGCCACAGGAGAGCCGAGCAACAGAAAGATGTCTTAGGCGGAACGTCAATTTTCGTCCCTTTTTCCTCCCGTTTGCAATCTGGACATCCTCCCGTAGTTCGGAAAGCATGTCCTCTCTCAAAAGCCGAAATTGATTATCAAGGAAAGCCGTTACCCGCTGGTGACCTTGGAGTTCCCCAATATCCTCGGCGCGACGAAAGAATGGTCTTCCCGTACAGCTAAACTCATCGGAGGTTGGAAGGATGGCAATCTTTCGGAAATCAAGAAAATCGTTATCATGACGGCCTCCCGCTGTGAACGCGGACGAGTCGATCGTGCCCCCAGAACACTTCATTTGCAGAAAATGGTTTAGCTTATGTCCGAGTCCACGCAGCTCGATAGAAGGAGAGCGAAGCAGTGACCCGTCGTTCACCATCGTCTGCGCGTCTGCAATAACATCCACTCCGCAGGAGCTCGGTAAAGAGAGTAATTCCGTCATCATCCATGTCAACGCGTAAATTGCATTGTCGTCCAGCGTTCGGGATGCGAACGCTTCCATCCAGGCATTCCAAAGGGTACGCGGCTCAAGGAAGATGAGGAGGATTCGCTCGAGAAATTGCCCGTTGCAGAGGTTTTTGATTCCCGGATCGCTCAAGTATTGTAATAACTTTGCCGTGTACTGGTTAATGAAGTCAGCCGTTGTGCTAAATCGCAGTCCCTTCTGAAGGGCAGTCAACGCGCTGGGGCTGGCCATGAGACGTTCAACAGCAACGGAATGGTCAATTTGGGCTAAAATTGCCTCCACAAATCTCTTGAAGTCATTCACATTCTGGACCGACTGCTTTCCTGCGATAACATCCTGAAGATACTTCTTCTGGCGATCCGACCGGGTTCTAACCGCAGACATGTTGTAATCCTTCTTGTGAGTGTGGGGGCTAAAGCTTTGAAAGTCGACTTATGACTGACTATCATATGGGACAGAGCTTTCCTTGCAAATTCAGGATATTCCAACCAGGCATGTGCATATATATGTTCTCTTTGGGGTGGGCGGGGTGAGACACCGCTAAAGCTGGCTGACCTTGCACGGACTTGGTACACGAATTGCAAGGTATATACCTGAGCACCCAAGTAAGGTCTTCCATGGAAGGGGCTGGCTTGGCAGCAGATGGCAAACTTGCATATTATGCCACGTCAACAAGGATGCCTATGCTGGTTCCCACGAAGGGTTCGCAAAGGGGTGTTACATGACTACGAAAACACGGGAGGGAGCAATGCCCTGTTTTTTAATTACCATCGAGTTTCCATCAGAATAGACACCTCGTGGCTGCAACTCGAGGCTCCTAGACTACCCTCGACGATATCTGAACGCATTTTGGCATCTTAAGGCCATCGGCTCATATTCTAACAATGTCCCCAGTTACTTCCCATGGACGCAATAGAGGCTGTGCAGGTGGTTATGGAAGGAACAGTACGCCATGGAGTCGAAAGCAAAGAGTACAGCAGGCTCCTCCTCCGCCACGTGGCGAGGTTCTTGCAACTATTTATCTAAATGACCTTCAAGCGGAGAAGCAGAATAAAACCTCCCAGATAACTGACAGCCAATTCCTGGCGTCGTACAACTGGCTCAGTGGAGGAGGGCCTCATATTCTCATACCTGGTAAGAAAGCACATCCTCAAAAGCTTCCCACAGGATATCCCCGCTAATCAGGCATGGCTGAATAGGTGAGCCTCCGAAGTGGGCTCCTCTCTCAAACTCAACTCAGCTCTCAGAGGATTCGGGGTTATACTTTCGAGATCAGAATGCCGCTCGCTATCCTAGCTACCCCATGGAGCCAATGGTTCAAGCCATTCTTGCAAGCAAACCTGGCTTCCTGCTTCAGGACATTGACATTGTCGCATGCGGAAGTACACTCGGGAATTTGTTACGTTTTGTGCGCGGCGAGGGCAAGCCCTTTCGAACCCTCATTGAAGTCATTGGGAGAACAGTCTTTTTCATGAGGAGAGAGAATGCCCATGACGAGGTAATCCCGAACGTATATGGGTACGGTCATACTTTCCCAGAGGCATATACCACGTGGGGTGCGAACGTGAAAGGATCTGAGTCTCACCAAAGAGTGATGACGTATGACTTTGCTGGTATGAGTTGCTTAGTCCGCTTTGAAGCAGACGGTTATCTACCTTCGGTGACACAGAACCACCACAGCAGTCGCAGCTCAGAAGGGGATCCAGCAGAGGCCGCAGAAGATCTTCTGTCTTCCTTCGACAATGTTGCTATTTCCAACTTACCTGCAAGTGGTCTGAAAAATCCAGAAACCCTCAAAATATCAGCGGGAGATGAATGCATCTCTCAGTCGGCCATTTTTGACCTGAAAACCCGCTCCTTTAGAAAGAAGGACGAGGACACACTCGGCCAAGAGTTACCTCGGCTGTGGATCGCACAGGTCCCGTATTTTATTCTTGCCCACCATAAAGCTGGGCTATTTGGTGATATCCAAGTTATCGACGCACGCGAGCGGGTCAGTCATTGGGAGGAAGATCAAAAAGCCACTCTGGCTAGGTTCGCCGACCTGCTGAAGAAGATAGTGTCTTTTGCGCGAAGCTTGGACTGTGGAAGATTTGAGATCACCCGCGAAGACGGTGCGACCGTCTTGGAACTAAGAACGCAGTGCGCAGGCGCTGGCCGGGTGCTACCCCTGCATGTGGCGAATAAATGGGACGAGGAAGTCGCAGGATTCGATGGAAGCTGCTCCGTCGACGGGTTTTGAGATGATGATTATATGGCATTCTGTCGGTTGAAGATTATCTATCGTGTTGACGGTAAAGGTGACAAGGAAAGCACAAATGGCAAGCTCATGTGGATACTGCAAACATTTCATAATGGGAAGGACAATCCCTTGCAGGGTTAGAAGTATTGGGATACCAATGCAATTCGATCAGCCGAAGCCCCGATTGGTTTGAAGTTATGTTAAACAGTTCAAATGATACATCGGTTACTAGGATACAGTGCATCCCTAAGTTCGTAGCATTCAAAGAAGCAACCCACAATATCCTCATTTTAACTGTACCGAACCAGACCGTTGTACGGTCATGCTCTGCACCGACAAAGTAGGCCATAGTATCGGAAACCGCAGTTTGGATAAATTGATATGGGTTGACGGACTTGGCAATGGATAGTTATAGTGAATTTAGTCTCCATCAACCCGAATTTTATCGCGAATTAGCTCCGAAGAGAAATTATGAATCGCATTTGCATTAAGGTCCAAGAAAGAACATGACGAAGTAGGAACCAATAATCCAGCAGAAAGTATGTCAAATGTAGAACATCGTGTTTCGCACATTTTGATGGATTTGAACGTCTGACGTCTCTAGCGTCCGTCCAGTGCCGCCTTCGAGCATACTGCCAGACGGGCTTGGTTCCGCACTTGCATCAAAGACTTCCTTGAGATAACAGCGGACACGCTCACAAACCAAATCAGCGTAGTACGCAGGCGGACAGATACTGACAGCTTTCGTCGCACGACCAAATACATAGCACATATTGTGGGTTAAGTGCTCAAGGAGGTCAGCTGCGTTCTCGAACAGTGGACGCGGTTTCTGTACAGAGAAAATCTCATCCCACACAATATAATAGTGAGCAGGTCGAGCAGTTCCCTGCAATGCAGAGTGAGCCTGAAGATAGAAATCCCAATCTCGCGCTTCAGTCACTCCACGGTCGACCACTGTGCCGTTCTGGGGATTGGATGACCGATCCGCCTGGTCTTCGTGAGTTGAGTAGAAACGAGTGTGGTGCCGTTTCCCAACGATTATGACCGAAAGGCGTGGGGGGCCATTCCGATACATTGGCTCACACGCGGATTTCAAAAGCGGGACTTCTTTCTCCACCACAAGATTGTACTGACCCTCAGAAACTCCGTCACGGTAGACAATCATATTCTCGGGAAGCTGCCCGTTCACAGCAACCCAATGCTTTAATCGGGACCGCAGCATTGTATCAAGGGCGGCGACCATTTCCTGGCGGGATGCCTGGATGCGGATCTCTGCTGGCCATTGACCAAGCCTTTTATCGAGAGAGGCAACCATGCCTGCCACGCTGGGTGCATGCTTTGCAGACCCCGGCGACGGATGGGTGACATCGATGCCGACGATCATCGTTTTGCCATCGGAGATGATTCCCAATTCATCAGTTCCCAACACCTGATTCACGCCACCGAGCTTCAGATTGATTTTCAAGCAGACATTGGCGAGGTACTGGTCATTTTTGTGGAAAAACTTTTCCTCGAGCACACAGACGTTGTGGACACCATTGTGCAAATCGCAAACTCGTTTGACTGAGCTGTATATATCTGTATCTTTGGCGGGAAGAATTGCCAAGACCAAGTCCAGTTTATGTTTACTTATCAATTCTGTGATAGCATCAGTTATGGCTTGATCAAGCTTGGCTGCTTGGTATTTTCCATCATAGTAGGCCCCTGTCACATCCAGTCTCCTTCCATCCATTGCAGGGCTCGCAATAACACCCATGTCGTTTAGTTTTGAGCTCAAAGCAGCTAAGCAGGGCTTTAGGTCGGCTGGCCTTTCGAAGTATACCCTTTCTCTGTCGGAGACAAGGTAAATAAATGCCCAGAATGACAATCGGCTAGATGTGAAGAACTTTGCGGACTTCATGTTCCAGCTAGCCGCGAGAGCGTCCACCTTCCTGCGGTCTCTATAAAGCACGGAAGGTGATTGTAAGACCCTCCCTGGGACGGTTATGAGGGTAGGGTCACTATCCAGCCCAAAGTATCGCTGTTGCGAGTGGTTAATAAGACCCAACAGTAAAGGAAAGGTAAACTGTACCAACGTCGTATTGAGTTGGGGTGTCAACCCCAGTGCACCAGCACCTTTTGTCGTAATGGATCGAGCATTCTGGGCGGGGTTGCGCACCGCAAATCGGATCATGTTCTGAGTTTGTCTTCTGTTCAGCTTGACTCCCGCGGCCTGGCCAGCTATAACAACGCAGACTTCGACCGGCAAATAGGACGGATCTTGACGTGTGCCAACATTAACTACTGGCACATTGGAATCAACATTGAGCCCGTATCCTGGGTGTGGCGTTAGGACTGGTCTGCTCCGAAACGGGGGATTCGGTAAAACACGTACTTTCCCGGAAGAAATCCTCGACTGTGGTGTACCTTCCGTATTCTTCTGGTCCGGACTTGGCGGGTTTTTTCCCTTTGGATTTTGCCTTACCAATGGTTTTTGGACCAACGCCTTCAAGCCAGAATTGCACTTCCGTGGGCCCAGCACCGTGTTTAGGAACAATTGGAGGGTGAGCTAGAGACTTTCCATCTGCCGGAGAAGCCAAGCCTGTGATCGTTTTGAACCGTGGGATATCTTGGCCTTGGCTATTAACCCGGCGGATATGGGTAACTCGAACTCTCAGCCTTTTCAAGAAAGCTTCCAGCCTGTAGACGCTTGGGGGACCTTCTCGTCGGTATGCAGCCATTACCGTTGATAGCTTTCCTTCCTGATAGCATGCAGCATATTTGACCTGACAATTTATAAGGAATCGTGAGGTAGCAGCGCGAACACTCACAAAAAAGCCCCTGAGAACCTCGAGACCAGCACCCAAATCAAACCGTTCGACAGAGCTCGGATCAATGTTGAAATGTTTGTTTGAACCCAGAGATATTGTTTCTTCGCTAGTTTTTGGATAATAGCCCGTCACAATGTTCAGGGTCTGCAGTACCTCGGGCTTGTAGTGAAACATCGCGCTCGCGTTCGTCGAAGAGAGATAATCAAGGCAAGCAGAAATACTTACTTTCCCAGTGAACGTCACTTTCACGCTGAAAATCCTTGCGTTCTGTCGGGAGTGATCATCGTACTCTTCCCTATAATTCACGTCATACACACGTTCATGCTGCTTCTGCAACAGATCCACCCTGGAGATAAGGATGGATTTATAGTCCGACGCAATGCTATTAAGCGTCTGCGCAAAGTGCGAGACCAGCAATAGACGGAAAATTTGTTTCAGCTTGCGCCCCTTGGGTTCTTGGGAGACTTCCACATTGTAGCGAAACAAGTCTTCTTTGGACTTAACCGATAATTGGAAATAATTCGCATAAAGAAGAACTTTGTTTCCTCGAGTTCCATACCCCGGTCGCGTGGGAAGACGACCTCTGTCTTCAGGCTGGGGAGAATTGGCCGCTAGTGCTTTCTGGATAGCATCTTCTTTCTGCTGAATCATTCGATCAAGTTCTGGGGCCTGGGCTTGCCTGGCGCATTACCCTCTATTAGCTCACAAAGGACACAATAGATTTATCTATCATCCCGTAACAACTGCACGGGTCCAGAAACGCTCACCGGAATATCTCTTTGCCCCGGCCTCGTTCTCCACCTCTATAACCTCTCCCACCCCTAGGGCCAGTGCCTCCACGACAGTGGACGTCATGGTCTCGAAACCCGCCGCCTTGTCCGCCGCGTCCGCGTCCCCAACCACGACCTCGAAGGATTCTACCTCGATCGGACATCAGAGGGTAGACTATTATCTATCGAGTTGTCTTGAAGGGCAATCCAGTGAAAGAATAGAAAGTGGGATTCTGGATTGTGGTAGACTTTAGACGAGGTGAAGGGTGGCACGGGAAAATATATTCGTCGAGCAGGATGACCGAGTAGGGACGTATAACACCACGGCAAATTTATAATCAGATCACGAGTCTCGGAAAGTCCAGAATAGATGGTCGCCGCCAAATGCAAATGGCCTATTGACCTATATTTGTGGGTACGGTATTACCAGGTGGCACAAGCTTTCTATTCATTAATACTCCCGTTACATTTACTGTCAAATGCTGCCTTGGAGCAGAACGGATAAAGAATGCCTTCGTTCGCCATAGTCAAAATTCAAAGTTCTGCCGCAATAGAAGCTGGCCGCCGAGAACTCCGGTCTCGCAGTGTCGCAATTGCCAAGTCAGCCCCCGTCACGACGCATTCTTCCTGCGACAAGCAACCTTCAACGCCGTGTAGAACCTCGTCATTCAGAACGACTGAGACGTCGTATAAACTTGCCTTGCTGGCATTCCGTGTAATATTATACTCGACTCGGCTTGATTTTGCCAAGCGACCCAGAACAGATCTTGGGTGCTCGACCATGACTTCCTCCCGCAATATGCGAGACAAGTAGGGTAGTATTTTGATTCGAGTCAAGAATGCCTCGCATTGCTCGATGCTCCCACACGAATCGATGAACAATGCGCCAATAATACTTTCAGTGATGTCGGAATAGAACTTTTCAGCTCCTAGCTGGGCTAAACTAACCCATGGATACGTATTTCCTGTTGCCAAGCACGCGCAAATCGGCTCACGCAGTTTTTGATATCGCTCTAGACACAACTTCTGGACCGCAGATACATCCGGGTTATCATGCCGCATGAATCTCCAAAGCTCCAGAACGCCCGCTTGAGTTTCCCGAATAAATTCTCCGCTCTGCGATTCGCGAATACGGGTCTGATTGTTTTGTAGCCCGAATTCCATGCATTGAAATGCGAGAAAATGTGCGTTGGTCACCGCCGCCTTTGCTTTCGTCATCTCGTCCTCAGTCAACGGCGGCCTATGCTTGTAAAGTGCATCCGTTATGATCATGTCGAGGATAGCATCACCGAGGAATTCAAGCCTTTGGTACGATCCCGTACTAAGGTCCCTTTGCCATGACGGGTGCGTGAGAGCTTCCCATACAAGGGATCGATCAAGAAACTGGTAGCCTATTAACCTGTCAACCTTCTCTTCCAAGTCTGGTCCCATAATAAAGTCCCGCTGCGAGGGTCGCTGAGGTGCCAGGGAAGGCATTCGGTCCGCGACTTCCGGTATGAACACGTGGATCATCGCCCAAGCAAGCTGCATCCCGCCGTCAACATAGGCTGCCCCTACTAGTGCTTCTAATGTATCTGCAAGGGCTTTTCCAGATACTACACGGTTGCCCGCGGGCGGGCAAGGTTGGTCGGAAACCCTTGGGACAGTCCACTTTCTGCTCGTCATCGGCTCCGTCAATAGAAACGGTCCCAGGCCTGCCTTTAGAGCGGCGTGGGCGAGCGATGCATTGGATACTATCTGGCTTTTTCTCTGTGATAAGTAACCCTCGTGCCACAAAGGGTGATCATGGAACAGTTGGATGCACACAGCGAATTTCAAGACGCCATCGCCGAGATATTCGAGACGTTGATAATTGCTCGTCCATTGAGCCGAAGGAGCCGTAATAGCATCTGCAAGAACTCCAAGGCTAATACAAGGAAGGTGCCCAAGAACGGAATTCCTCAGGTGCGCTGCGATCAGGAGTCTCTGCTGTAGCTGCATCAACGCGGAGAAAAGGAGACTTGCGCGGCTCAATTCCCACGGCAAAAGATCAACGGTGCATAAGCTTGCGGGCACCTGTTTTGCCCGAGACTTCCCACAATCCGGGTTTCCCCTGTCGGATAGCCGTTGGCACAAAGTGCTTTTCAGCAGGAGGTTCCTTCTTCTACGAAAAGGCTCGCAGCAGACCAAAGGTTCGGAACCATCGTCCAGCTGGATCCATCCAATAAAATTGTGGGGCTTATTGTACAGAAGTTCGCATCGGACGAGTCCCTGTGGTTGAGAGGAGGAGTCATCACGGTACCAGTCCAGGCAATTCCGCCATCCTCGATTCTCTACCAACCATGTCTCAAGCTCATCGAGAGGGATATCCGGAGATACCAAGACATTAAGAGCATCGACGGCGTCGTTGCTGGGGACCTTTGTCCTTGTTGACGACAGCAGAACGGATGTAGTCTCACGCATTAGCTGCAGCTCGGCCGGCGATATACTGAAACTCTCCAGGGATTGTAAAGTAACGACGAAATTCGTTTCACTGTCCCAGAATAGCTCCAAAGGTTCTGTTGCAGGAAACTGAACGGATGTTGTGAGAATCATTCCAAGTTCGGGACGATCTTTCCCATTCTGTGATATGCGCATGCGGCTTCTATGTAGTTTATGACCCGTCGAAACAGCTAGTTGCTCCCACGGGTCGAAGATAGCCTCAAGAGCGATCTTCGACGTCAAAGCGGGTTGATCGCCTGCCGCATCTCGCCAGAGGCGTTCCGGGGTCAAAGGCAGGAAATGATCGTTGACCAGCTTGGCTCGATGCAACGCAACATATGCATGAAATGCGGCATCTTTTCGTGCTGCACGCTCTGTGAGCCACCACTTAGCTCCTGTCGCAACGCGAAGTGACTGGTCTACGCCACTGGGAAGTGTCACTGTGGCTCGGACATGGCCGGCCTCATTTTGCTCGAAGTTGAACGATGGGCGTAGATCAGCATGCGGTTCCAAATTCAGAGTGGAGCAGAAATGGTAAAGGTGAGAAACCGCAGAATCGGCGGTCAGCAATGCCCTGGTTGAATTGTTATCACTACCCCCAGACAATCGCTAAGATTGAAAATACCAACCCGTTTTGTAGTCTCATACGGAGAACAACATTCTCCGGAATGTTTTCCAGTGCCGCGATCTCCTCTAACTTCCTCTTGTGGTCCCTGTACAGCCGCACCATTTCGTCTTCGAGTTCCTGCCACCGCTCGATCCCTTTTGTCATGTCGTCATCTGCGATCATGATGACAAACTTTGACTGCTGCTGCCGGGCGCGGCCCCGCCTTTGGATGAAAGATTTGAGATTGTTCGGTTGATCGAAACATACAACCAGATGGCAAGCCGTCATGTCGATGCCTTCCTCCAGGACATCCGTTCCAACTATAAGATTCATCTGGCCCTGTCGGAATTGTTGAAGAACATCATCTGCACCAGGTCCTAGCAGGTCACAAATGCCGCTTTTTCTGTTTCTGTTGTTCGACGAACCTACGCACGATGCACACTGGAAAAGGCCGTGGGTAAGAGGATGGCATCGTATTACAGCCGCCAGTACGTAGGCCGTTGCACGTTCACGGACAAAGATAATTCCCGAGAAATGTTCATGGTGCTCCTCCTTCAAGAAAGCCAGAAGGCGGCAGACTTTTTCTGACACTGTGCTAGAGGAGCCAGGAATAGCAGGGGCCAGCTGAAGAATGGGTCTTACTATCTCTGCTAAATGTGCCTTCACAGGGTCAGCCCATAAAGAATCGGTCATTCCGGCTCTTCCGACAAGTCTTTTAACTGATTCTGCAATAAAGCAATCAGCAGCCCATGTGCCCAGCAGGTTGCCGATCCCAATTGCCTTTGCGTGGAACTTTTCCAGCTCGTCCTGGACCTCCCGAACAACTGAGTGATCGGAGAGTTCAAGATGAGACTGGGCGCGAGAGTGGGCCTGAGATATAGCTTCGAGAAATGGCGAGGGCCAGGCGCGATTTGAGTCGTCAGGAGCGGCATATCGGAGTAAGATGAGTTGCGGTGGGTGGACATATTTCATGAGGTCTTGTCGTTGTGCTCGAGGTGTTCTGCAGACTGCACTGAGATTCCGTTCTATCTGTCTGCACCCGGGGAATGAGAACCCTTCTCCTCATGGCTTCTACACTAGACTTACGACATGTCATGTAGCTTCGTTCTCATAATAGGGCTGGCGGTCAAGCCAAGGATTCGCGGGACAGACTCGGGCCCCTGCTCGTTCTTTGTGGGGTGGTAGAAATCCTTCATAATAAGATTGGCAGGATGGTTTTTAACGCAATGATGGGCTAATCACCAGTCAGCCAAGTGTACTGAATAGCAAACATTATCCTTACCTTCGTCAAACACAATGAGGCCCAGCTTTGCCATCAGCACAAACTTGTGGGCAAGAGCTTCCGCTAGCACGGCGTGCGTAGAGACAACAATCCGCACGCCGTGAAGGGCGTCGTCCCAAATCCGCTGCTCACTCCAACGATCAACTCCGTCGTCTCCGATTAACAGTTTGATATTCATTGCCGGGATATGAGAAGCGATGACTTCTTTCTGCTGGATCGAAAGGGCGACAGTGGGGGCAAGGAACCAAACTATCTGAATATGTTTGAGACTGAGAAGCCGTGGAGGGATTAATCATTCAAACCTTATCCAAGGCACAGCGCTGCAGCTCCGCCATTATTCTCATGCATGCTCTATTTATTTTCCTGGTTATTCGATCCTGACGAAACAGAATTCAGGCGTAATGAGGCGTACATATGAGTCTTCCCACTTCCCGTATCCATCTGGCACACTGTTAGCCTACGATACAAGCAGTTTTCCTCGTCTCTGAAAGAGTAGCATACTACAACGATAATATTCTCGCGTAAGCTCATTTCTAGCATTTCTTGCTGGTAGCTCCGAGGCCGGAATTCGTCCATTTTCCTTTCTCTCCTGTTATGGTTGCCTTCGTTTGGTATGACTTAGCAGTTAGGTGAGGGAGAAGAAGTCATAAAGTGGGTTCGTAATCTTTATATACTTCCGCGGTGACAACAGAATACGTGGCACTGGAGCAGTAATTCCTTGCATTCCCATTCGAGTTACATACAGCAAGAGGTCATAGGCAGGCTATCATCATTCCTTAGAAGCTGCGAGCAAGCACTTATATAAGCAACAGTGGACTAAATTATCGATCAGGCGTGCACGGTATGTAATTCGGTGCATTATTTGCCGCTCGGATGACGTTGCGAATATAGCAGTTATGCTAAGCCTACAGTCACACTGCGTCTCTCCGACAATATGATTTACAATGCATACCCATTTTGTAATAATTTAGTTTCAACTAGGAGACGCAAATGTTGCTATTCTTCGTTTTGTATATCGACTACCTCCAATTTCGCCTAGCTAAATTGATTCGTCTGCGGGCGGATATGGACCTGTCATAATCTGAGCATGCCTTCTCAACCCGAGAAGGGAAAGTAGGCTCGATGAGTTCTTCGGGTACTCCAATATTTGGCTGTCCGCAATTTCCTCAAGTTCAAATACCGGGCAACGCTCTACCGGAAATTCCATCAAGGCATCCACGATTCTCTCGGCAGCTGCGCTGAACTGACGCAAAGCCTCACCTTGGGTGCGTGCTAGAATGGAAATGACTTGCGCAAATGTTGACTCGCGCAGAGAATGAAGCCTAAATTAGTTAGCGGGGCAATATTTGGGTCTCAAAGTGCTTACTGATTGTCCGAAATGCTGATGTCTGGTCCTCCAGGTAGGTCATAATGCGGCATCAGTGCAAGTATGCCTTTGCCGAAACTTGATGTTAACATATGAAACTTCCGGCCAAGCTTGCGATAGAAATTTACAGCACCACGCTTGTCGTCGTATTCTTGTGTTCCAGGCAGTAGAGCAGGGAATATCTCCTTCATCATTGCTGTCGTCAGGTCATTCTCCGCATTGTTCAGGGGGTTTCCCCTTTTACGAGAAAGGACACCGTTTCCCTGGACTGAGACAAATCCTGCGAATGATGGCGTATCACACCCTCTGCAATCCTCAAACAGACGGAGGATGTAATACCGTCGGAGAAGGGACAAGCACATCATATCTTGATTCATATTCTCGATTATATGAAACGCTTCTGCTTTGGATGCTGATTTGGATAGTTGCCAGGAGGCAATACCCGTCTGAGTTCGCCACCCTAGAATGGCCTTCTTCAGAATTACCACTGATTGTGAGGTAGCAACACACAGTAACAATTTTTTGGGCAGCTCTGTTGAAGTATCTTTTACCAATTTCACAATTTCCGTGTGGATGTCAGGAGCATAGTATGATTCTTCTGGGGCGGCGATTCTCAAGGCTCTGCATTTTTCGGACTCACGAGTAAGGAAAGGTTCGAGCCGATCGTTGGTGAAGCGCTGAGACCGCCTAACCTTCGCTTTGCTGCCCTGGGTCTCGCATGGAGCGCTTTCAGCGGGTCTTCTCCTGGGCACCGCCATGAAGTCACCTCCAGCTTCGATTTCCTGCTTCATTGATAAGGGAAATCATATTTGTCAGCCCGTTATCCACCATCTGAGTTTAGGGAAATGCATGTTAGGGTCTATACCAGTGACACCACGCTCACTTGGCTCGTATGCACATTCGATAATATATTGCATGGGGCTGCAAGTGGATCCGTAATAGGAAACTGTGCTTCACAATTCGCGTTTGATTCCAACATTGCAGGGTTTATGCCGTCTTGGTTCTGGATGAAAAACCTATTGTACTCGCAAGTCAGCCAAGTCAGATTGACATAGGACATACCCGACCCTATATAATGCATAACGCCCCAGGTATCAGAATGATTCCCAGAGTCCAAGTATGCCGCTGCTATAATTGCTGCAAGGGCTTTTCCGACAACAGTTGTACTTCCTTTTCCAGACCTAGGATTATATCTAATGTACTTATCGATTGATGTGCGTTGAGCAACCAATGCTAGATGGTTATAACAACAAAGTTGTTGTTTTAGGACGGCAGTTTCCCCTGGTGTTCCACTGAGAAAGATCCTACAAGGTTATCGTCCCTGGACTCTTACTTGGTTTGGCCTTTTTCTGATGTGCGTCAAAATCCAAACAAAGACCGATTACGTCCACGCCAATTGGTGCTAGTCTTCTATTTCCCTCATAATTATCCAAGTCTGCACCGGCTGCTGTGAGTGCGTCCGATAGGAGTGTGATATCCCGGAATCGATACTTGAGGATCCTTTGAACCTCTTCAAGATGCCCGTCGCGGTCCATGTGGTCTGAGATAATTGATCTGCTTGAGAATGTAAAACTTCATCGGACCAGTACTACCTACCAAGTGCCCAAGGCACAGCATGCTGTTTTATACATGCTATTTGCGGAGTCGCGCACGAAACAAGCCACTCGTTTTGGGGTCGTCAATGTGGCGCTTTCCACCACAATTACTGTACAGTAGCCCTACATTTTCACATGCATAGCTACCTGACTCCCTACCCAGCACACTTCCTGAAGACGTCTCTTATGTTCTCGATCTTCGTCACACCTACCAACCAAGCAGCGTGGCTGAGACGACTACGTCAGGAGACGTATTAAGAATAAAAGCCACTAGCAACTCGTCCGCACATCGAGCGGGGTAGTTGCATCAAGCTCAACCGAACCGTGGGTCTGATGATCGGCAAATAGTTTAACCGCCCACCAAACAGTCATGCTATACCACTTTAGGTATTAACAGAACTGCGCCAGCGTAATTGCCACTTTTGGATCTAGTTGAATCCGCCAGCGAGGTTAGCCAGCACCCCCTACCAGTCGGTGCCGTACGTGCAGATGTGAGGGAGCCGTACGATAAGTTGTTGCCCAGTTATCTGCAGCTATGTCATCACAGGAATCAGGTCGTACCAATGAGTAGATGGAACGCCCAGTATACGAATCCAGATTCGGTGAATAGACGGTTCATCTTAACGCTCCCAGAATCCTCTCTCTTCTTGACGTTGTGTGTTTTGTATTGCCACCATAGCGGAGGAGTTAACTCATTCCTTCCGTTGCGGTCCTAACTGATGGAAAAGACTGACACGAAATTCTTTACCGCGTATCCGAATAGGTCAAACATAAGTATTAATTAACTCAACAGCCTATTGCCAGAATCCCTTCATACGCGCCAAGTTCCCTTTCGATCAGACCAAGAACTTCAAATTCATACTTGTAGCTTTCCACGTCTTTAGAGCTTATGAACAACAGGCCGTTTTCGTCAGCAGTAATAATGGCGATCGTGCTAAAGAGGGCCAGCAAGGACTAGACCTTGAGGAAAATTCAGATCGATGGCAAAGACAGAAGCATGAGAAACGAGCTGCTGCTTGACGCGTCCCAGTGCTTTGAAAGACACTAGAAGCCTGATCGTAATGACAACCGGTTCTAGCGGGGATCCTGTGGTCACTTATAACTTCCCGTACAGCTTCTGCGATATATAGTCTAAGTCCTATTCGTCGAGTTCCAGTCGATGTCCCGTAGGATCAAACTTTTAGTTTCCATCCTCAGACGCGGCTTTCGAGGCCTAAGATTTGACGTCCTGTCAATAAATAGATGGCGGACAAAAGAAAGGTGAGGAATTTGAAGAAGGCTGTAAGAAGTTAAGGTTATGGGACATGAAATGACGCCTGATAGACAGAGCGTATTATAGGTTGCCATGCCTATCCATGTGACAGAGCAGCTACGTTCCTCCTTGGTTCGAACTTGGCAATGCTCTAGTAGGGCAGGAATGCTTAGGTAGATCCCCTTTTGACTGCTCTGCAGGACACAGCAGTAGCCTATCTTTCTCCTCCGTTTCTTGCATTACGAGCAAATCAATACCTTCTCTCGTTATGGGGCTGGGGGCGCTAAGGCAACATAGTGGCAGAGTGTCCGCTCGTCGTTTTCTGTCATGCATTTATTGGATGACGAGGCCCTGTTGCGAGAGATTTTTCTCTGTTATTACCAAAGCTGCAGCATATCAAGAGTTCCCTAGACTGCCACACTGCCATATCTGGTCCTGGTCGCCAGGTTTTTAACCAATAAATGCATAACAGGAAACCACGAGCGGGAACCCTGCCATTATGTTACCTTTGCGCTCCCAGTTCAGAAATCCAGGTTGCGAAGACTCCTCCAGAAGAGGGAATCCGCGTCTTATCGGAACGTAGGCTCCATGTACCCTTCAAGGGCTTGAAGTGTGCTATTATGGGTCCAGATCAGGCGTTCGCCCCGCAGAATTAGAGAATGGGGAGAAGAGTAGGAAGGAGCGACCCTGCCATGGTTTAAAAGGAGCTTTGAGTTTCCTATTCGGAGATTAGTACACTTCATTACACTTTCCCCGGGTTGATGGAGTAATTATCTGCCTGTAAGGAAGATCCATGTATATCAGCACCATCTCAACCCTTTCCTATACAGACTTGCCCAGTCGGTCTCACTCAACACGTATTGTTGTCGATAGAAATCACTACCTGATCAAACTGGCAACCTGTATCTTCCTGACAAATAATGACAGCGCACATGTCAGCAGTTTGCGATATGGTGATGATTGGAAGTCCTTGTTGTGCCACCATCTAGACCCACCGGGGCTAAGGAAGTCATAACATAAAAGGCGAACAAAAGCGATAGAATACCACCTTCCGAGTCTCCAGCCTTGAATTGTCCGTTCGAATCTGCAATTTAACAAACTCCTCATTGCTAGCTTACCAGTGTCATCGCTGCTCTTTCAAATAGTCATGGAGAAAAAGGCCAACAAATGCGAATCGTCATATATTGAGTATGTTACTTGTTCGAGAAAATTGACGTATGTGACATTAACCTCGTGATAGTTTTCTCGATTCAGAGCTCGTTTCTCTCCAAGCTGGTCATGCCGGACGTTTATTTAAAATTCATCGAAAGCTGCTCGGCTTGAAATGCGAACCAGTGATTGCTGCCTTGGATGGGAGTTTCGATGAGGGCCGACAGGGAATATACAGATTTGACGAAACGACAGAAGGAACAGTTACACGCTTCATTGAGTGGGCATACAGGGGCGATTATCCTACTGTGATCAGCAAAATCGAGCCCGTCCGAAAGTCACTTCCGCACGGTATTGAAGCAGATGTCGAGGATAAGCCTATTATTGCACCCCCAGCGGCGGATTTTACTTCCGAGAACCATCCACTACTGGTCCACATACGTCTGTATATCTTCTCAGGGACATACCTTATCCCTGAGCTTCAGCATCTGGCTTTCGAAAAGGTGACTGCCTGTTTCATGGATCTGGAAAAACCAAATCGTCTTGATACGCAGCTTGCAGTTATTGATGCTGTGCGGCTGTCATTTCTCAGACTCCATGAGCATGACGCTTTATTAAACTGGCTGAGTCAATACTCTGCATATTGTATTGACAAGCTCCGGTTGCAAAGTTCCTTTCACGATTTTCTCAGAGACTTTCCAATTTTGAGCTCACGAATGATGCTTTCATTGAATCCGGCATCATCCCCACCTTGGAAAATCACGCAGCCAAAATATCCGTTTACCCACTACTCTCCCGGTCGATCGGCTGAAACTAAGTACGATTACTGAAATGGTGGGAAGATACAGTGAGTGGTCAGTGTGTCTCAGTTGCAACTATGACAGAAAGGTGTCCGTGCGAATCAATGAATGTTCTTATTTTGCAAGCCGTTGATAAATCAATGCGACTCGGTGCCAGACGTAAGGAACACAGGCATTCAAGTCTCCTCATAAAAGGCCAGAGACTTTGCAGCTCGCCATGTCATAGTTCTCTGTATTTAGACGAGTAAAACGCACGCATACCTCTCTAGGAGGCTACAAACCCTTTTCTACTAGAAGGCTGCAATGAGCGGTGGACATGTGGGTACCATGAGATCGGCGGGACGTTACAGAAAATAGGACTTATGGTTAGTGACCTAGTCTAGTAATCGATGAGATGTTTTCTCAACTTGACTCGCAAAAGAAAAAGGGCCTGAAATTAAGAAGACTAACTGCAGTGGGACTTCTTGCCGACGGTTCATGCTCTTTCACTTCAATAGGCTTCCCTAATAACGAAGTTACACTAGTCCCAGTGTAGCTTCGTTATTAGAGCTAATGCCGACAAATCCCACGGAATAACTTTCACAATGTCTGTTTTCTGTATTCCCGCAGGGTACATAAGGCGAAAAGCAACGCTACGTCCAAGCTTGCGGGTGCGATTGTTGTCTGTGTTGTAAGTGTTCTTCTTCTAACCTCCGTTGTACTTTGGTTTTTGGGCTGTAAGCGTACAAAACACCAAGCCCAACAAGTCCTGGAAACTCGAGACAAGAGACCGGGAGTCGACAACCTGTGAGGATGGGTCATAGATTCAGCGCTGACCAGCTAATTGTGTATGGCTATGCGCCTCCTCAAACATATTTACATGGTTGTAAGGGATTTTGAGTAACCTTATTTGCGAGTCCTACACTGATCTAAACCTCAGCCCATGTACTTAGTGCCTTCATCTTCCAGCATAGTATTTATCTCTTAATACAAATCTACTTAAAAACCCCGGCAGCAGTTACCGTGATCCGCTGGCCTAAGCCACTAACCTGCAGAAATCTTCATGGAACAAGGTTTCACAATGTATGTTGGCAAATGACGAAGATAATTGGCGTGACCAACTCTGCTCTCGTAAATAAATTGCTCCCCAGATCAAACATCAACACCATAATATGACATGACATCCACAGTATATTGTCGTCACCCTTAAGGTTCACTTCAAATTGTCAACATGCAAAGAATTTGCAGTGGTAGTAAAGGCACCCGCCTCTCTAAAGTGCCAAGTAATTCGGCGACAATGAGATAGGCTTTCGATCTTATTCTCTGCTGTGGGAAATTTACAGCTGCAACCTATCATTACAGCTAACTAAGCACCGCTAGCCCAGTAAGGCAAGAAGTGATTTTGGAGGCTTGCATAGCGCCTGATCCTAAGTGGGGCGGACAGTTGATTGTAGTTGATCATGGTGGACAGCACCTTGACCTGAGTGGGTCCGAGAGTTGATCGTAGTTGATCACCACTTGACCATAGTTCACACTAGTTCTAGTCTCAGTTGGCTAAATATAGCTGCACCAGAAAAGAATGGAGGGCCGAAGGGTTGATCACAGTTAGCCCAGTTAAACACCATTTGTGCACCATTCTCGGTGGGGTCAGCGTAAATAAAACTATCCATTCATCCATCCATTCTCGGTGGGGCGTTCTATCGAGCGAAACCAACATCACTCAATGATCAGAAAATCCTGACGGTATTACAGTCAGATCTTTAAAGTTTAAAGCGGACCGCACCATCTTTCCATTCCTGCAATGGAGGGTTTTGCCAGACTAATCATCTATCTCCAGATCTCCAGCATTCAATCGCTTTTACATTTACAGTAAGATGATATAATCAACTTTTCAACAATTTATTGTCTATTGCCTGTCAAATAAAAAAGTAAAAAAGTGGCAAGGTACTGTTACCCATAGTTCAAGTCTTTAAAATTAGAAACGCACCCATCACCTGTAATACGCGATGATCCCCACGATTATGCAGAACTACTCTCGAACGCGCAAAAAGCTTCCTGAATTAGCTGGGCCCGTCTCTCTAGTATAAACTAGGTATTGCATAGCACTAGCACCTAAGGGCTGATTTAATAAGTTGAGACGCGAAAATATGTGGACTTCAAGCTAATTCTTTCCCTAAAACCAAAGAACGTTCGTGCCTAATATATCATATAGAACATAGGACATTCTAAAAATCCGTTCTACAGAGTATGCCCCAAGCTTGTAGCCTCGAAGCAAAATTCCCATCATTAGTTCAAAAGGACTAGTACCGCCAGTCGTACCTAATCAGAAGATTTTGCGTAGTAGTTCTTTAAGGAAGCCATCTGTTTTGGCCGCTTGCTTAGGGAATATCTTTTGGGTTCCTCTGGTGTACTTCTTGAGCGCGGCTTGGTTAGGAAAACTTTGAACAGTCGCTCCTGTGCGGCGAGAGTCAATTAGGCCAAAAATATTGACATGCACTTTAATAAGAGCCTTTATAATTTAGTCCCGCGAATCTAAGTCACTGATCATTAAGGACAAGGGAAAACATACCTTTCGGCACTGTGTGACGCTAGTAAAAGGCCCCTCGAGCCGCAGTTCCCGACAGAGAGCCCGGTAGTTTTGGAGTTTATTGCTGATCTCATAATAATGCGCAAACTCTGTACTTGCGAATTTGACCAGTTCTTTTCTGTATCTCTTAGAACCAGTACTCTAATTCATATGATGTGCTAGACGAGAAAATTCTTCGGCCGTAGGAAGAGACGGGTTAGGCTGGAAGCCTGGAAAATAGGAGAAAAAGGCATCCTCTATTTCCTCCTAAGTACAAATAGCTTGTGGAGCTTAGAGTGTGTGTTGACTCAGTAGGGCCTACTCGGCTATCTTAAATAAAGCTTAACATTCGTCCTGCTCTTTGTTAACGATGTTGAGGTAAGTTAGAAGGTTGACTCTGGAATACCAGTGGCTGCTTAACTTGGCATCTTTGCATACTTAGGAGAGATAAGACGAGACCACTGATTGGTAGCGGCTATTAAGTGATGTATCATACGCGCACAGTGTCTTCCTCTCCAACTGCATGCATAAATGGTTGTGACGTGTCTTCCCCAATGTGGCAGCATAGAACCGCTTTCTCCGTTGAGGTTATGTGGATGTAAGTTATTAACGGGCCCACCCAAAAAGAGGCGGATGGTCAAGAAAGGTAGTATGCAGCGATAGTAAGCTGTATGATATCCGTAACAAAACCAGCTGGTGCTCATCGAACAGATGATCCCGCTGTACAATCGATGCTTTACTGCCGGCCTCTCCAAAATTACAATGGCCGTCGCAGCTTCTCTCTGGAATAAGGCCAAGAGAAAAAGAAACCCTGAGCTTTCGACAGCACAGTAGAAGCGCTCAATCACTACACAAACCATAAACCTCTACCATGCATGCCTTGCACAACTGCCATGACTGTCTCGGACTGCATTAATGAGCTGGTTTCGTTATGGCACTGTAAATGGACAACGTTTGATCTATGAGTTGTTCCAAGTCCTTTCACCATGGTCTCACGTGAGCGGGGTAATGACTAGCGAGATGCCAAGGCACTCGAATAGAGAACAGTATGCGAATCAAGGGGTCAACTTGTGATGGAATGATAACCTGTAACCTCCTTTTTTATCAAACAACTCGAGACTGCTGCTCAATACTGCACTTTTAGCTTTCCAGACACATTCTACCTCATTAAATCACGATGGCCTGCGTGCTAGATCCAGGGATCGATCAACCAACATTCGATCTGATTGTCCAGCTACAGCTCCAAGAGACGGACCTTTATTTCGAGTCTTCCAAAGGAAAGTCACGCGACCCTACAGATGAAGAGTTGGCCTTCCACTTGCAAAACGAGGAATGGAGAAATATCTCAGAGTATCTGCAGGATAGGCGAATGGCCATGAGTTTCGCGACTGCGGTGCAAGCTGATGGACATGTTCTGGCCGAGACCCAAGTCGAAGAAGAGAATGCCTCAAAAGACCGGATTATTGCTCGCCAATTGACGGAAGATAGATGTAATGTGCTTCCAAGTGAGCTTGAGTCGGAGTCAGCGGCTCTGGATGACGAGACCTTAGCTAAACTTCAAATCTTATATGTCAATAATATGGAAGACTACAGCTTTACAGGAGACTTGGACACAGGAGAGAGTCAAAATGAGTGTGCTGAATCGTCTGCCCGGGCAATCCAACGAGCTGGTCACTCTTTACCGCGAGCCCGACGATGTGTGGCTTGCAGGGAACTAATCGATTTCGTGAACGTGTTTCGCGCTCCCTGTCGGCACGAGTATTGTCGATCCTGTTTAGCAGATCTCTTCGAGTCTTCTATGACAGACGAGTCTCTCTTTCCTCCGCGATGCTGTCGGCAACCTATAGATCTGACCACTGCTCGCATATTCTTGAAGTCTGATTTAGTGGAGCAGTATCAGAAAAAGAAGGTTGAATACGAAACCCCGAACAGAACGTACTGCTACTCTTCCAACTGTGGTGCATTCATCGACATATCTCATATCAGTGGTGAAGTGGCCACATGTCCTGACTGCGGGCACACAACTTGTGCAAACTGCAAAGGACGAGCACATACTGGTGACTGTCCCGATGACTCCTCCCTGCAACAGCTACTAGCAACCGCACAGGAAAATGGGTGGCAACGTTGCTTTTCATGCTGGCGAGTGGTGGAATTAAGTTATGGTTGCAACCATATGATGTATGTGGCATTATTCCCTTTTCCCAAACCCTTTATTTAATTTCATTTCATTTTATTCTGTTCTATTCTATTTTTTCGTGTTTCTGACTTATTTATTCTTTTTTTTTATTTTCTCTTTTATGCGTTTTCCCACAATTGCAAATCTGACGGATATCGACAATAGCTGTCACTGCGGTGCCGAATTCTGTTACAATTGCGGACTGGAGTGGAAGAAATGCGAGTGTGAACAATGGAATGAGCATCGTCTCCTTGCCCGTGCATATCAAATAATCGATCGAGAAGCAGATCAGCCGGCAGCTGCGGCCCTCCCACAAGATGCCGACGAGGCCCTTGTGGAGGGTCAGCTCGTACCGGAGGCTCATGAGCCTCATTTTCAAACTCGGGAGGTGCAATCTGAGGATGTAATTGTGGCAGATGAGGAGCCATTTGCAACCCTTCCTTCTCCCACTACTCGGACAGCACGAGATCTTTTGGTTGCAAGAACTATGCAAGAGCTCAGAGACAATCATGAGTGTGGGCACAGCAAATGGAAATACTTACGTGGGCCGCATCGATGTGAAGAGTGCTTTCATCACTTACGCGAATATATATTCGAGTGTCGCCAATGCCGGATTCAAGCATGCAATCGTTGCAGAAGAAACAGACTCTGACCGAAGTGAGAACAAACACGGGTTCAAGAAGTGAAGGTATCTAACTCACAAAATATGTTAAATAGTGCCAAGTATATTTAAACTCTAACTGTATACAGACTAGTTGCGAGAAGGCTAGGGTTTAAGTTTAAGTGAGTCTGAGGTGGGCATGGTGGTTGTGCAAATGACTATATTGATTCTTACGTATGTCCAAAGTATTTCTGACAAGTTTTCTCCATCCGTAGTTCGTCTGGCAGGGACGTGAAAAATTTGTCAATTTTTTGATCTATACAGAATTCTGGGGGTTGACTTGGCAAGCTGTTGTATATCCCCTGTATGACGGGTACCGACCGGCTGTTTCCCAGTCAATGATGCCAATAATATCATCACCGCAGACAAGAATATTCAAGCTGCTGAGATCGCCACGAGTGAATACGATAGGCCAACCACGATTGTGTTGTCCTGAATTTCAGTCAAGTCTCGGGTCAAATACCATGCCAACTGGTAAATGGTTGATGGAAGCTTTGGACACTTGAAAAAGGCCCTAAATGAAGGGAATCGTCTGGTAAATGGCAATCGAACAGAGGTCCTCTACTAACAGAAGAGATCTCTATATCTTCTAGAAGCCGAAGTTCCTGCGTTTTCTGGATCATGATCTTCAGTTGTGTAAGAAGCTTCGTCTTTGATTCTTCGCTTTGATTTACCTAGCCAATGCTGATTATGTCTTTATATTGATCCTTTCCATCACCATGTAAGAACAACCTTCATGTGTGAAGGTGCAAAAGATCTTCGGGACTTGAATGACTTGTTCCGGAGGAATATTGCTATCTTGTCTAGGTACAAGCCAGGCTTTTGGAGAAGATAGTTGTATAGTGCTTCCAGTATAATCAGTGTAATTGATCTTGCTTGCTCAATTCGAGTTGGCGGCGCTCTAGGAGAGCTGAAGACTTGCAGGTTGGAGCGGATATATTTGACTACCTGCTTACTCCATTCGACAGCTTTAGCAGTTTTCGAGATAGACATGCCGCAACTCGTTATAGAGCAAATAAGCTGGATCTTTGATAATAATAGGTGTGGTGCCGTTGCTGTACTACCTTTGGCAATATAACACACACACACACACACACACACAATTTATCAACGCCCGGCGGCTCAGCCGAAAGGGCAACTATCACTAATCTATCAAAATCTATCAACACAGGTTCTAATGTACATCTGCTGTATCTCCTTCGAGCCCATACATAGATCCTTTCAGTATGTGTCCTCTCAGCTGTCAATATCGTAGGAGCAATATAGTACAGGGTGATGATGATGATGATTCATACGCTGACCCCTCGCCTAAGGCGACATGCAGGATCCACTATCTATACTCTCTATGTACATCTTTGAACGTGAACTATTACTTTCCTGACAAACTTGGAGCCTCGTCAAGGCCTGTATGGGCCGGTGCCTGGGATTGTGTTCTACCGCCCTCGTAGCGCGCGACTTCGAAATCTCTGCGATGTCTCCGCAAAGTCCAGTACCACCCTGAGAACACTACTGTCTGGCGGGATATATTATAATCTATCTTCCCTACCGTGGCCTGCTCCTCCCAGCATATCTGATATATTATTAAATACTCCTCCAATTTTCTGCTATAGTGTTTGGTGCAGTGTGCTAAGCCGCGGACAGTTGATTAATATATATACTATTATTTCTATTGCTCTGTATTTGCACAGGTTATCTTCTTAGAAGTCATGTTGTTTTCTATATATTACTAGCTATGAGTGGCCTGTGCGAAGTTACATGAGTAGATATACTTGATTCCATGGAAGTGAGCTGTATAAATAATGAGACCTGCTGGACAGCAAGTCTTAGTTAATATAGTACAGGTGCTCTTTCTTTCTTGAGATTCTTTATTCTTATCTCTATTCTTGATAAATTCTTTTACATATATATCTTCTCTCCCGTAAAAAGAGATATTTAAAAAAGTATTTTTTCTCTATATCTACTGTATTCTTAGCCAGCTGGTTAGCTGTCTTGTTTCCAGGATCTCTGCAGTAGCCTGGTATTTATTATAGTTATAATAGGATTTCTCGGGCTTTTAACTTTTCAGCTAAGTAGTAAATAACTTAAATAATACACTAGTCTAATTTATTTTATAAATTTCTGATCACCTGCAGGACTAATATACTATTACTGAGAATTATTACCAGTTATTGATTTATTGTAGAGTCCTCTTAGTTTCTCTGTACTAGTTAGAAGACTAGTCTAATAATATAATAGATTACTATAAGCTTGGCTATATAGACTGACCAGTATTCTATTAAACTGATATTAATTTATTAAGATTTTAGGACCTGCAGATTACAGTCAAGAATTACTACTGCTATATCCAGTTAATTCTATTTTTCTGAGATATCTGAGAAGACTGTAATACTGGTTACTGATTTTTATCTTACTAAGACTCTGGTCTATGCTTTCTCTTAATCAGATTTAATATTAATTTTAATAAAGAATTACACCCGCCACAGTGCTAATAATCTTGGATTAATAGTTTCCAAGGTCTATAACTACTTTAGATCCATAGTATACATGGTTTTAGCTAATAGGAAATATGTTATATTATAAATATATATACTATATTCCATGGCTTATTTTATAATTTTTTATACTGGATAATCATCCGGTAGAATACTGAACCAGGCTGCTGTGGTCTGTATTTATAGTTTTAGATATAAGTAAATAGATAGTATATATAATTCAATTTCTAGAATATTAGTAGAGACTGTTCAGAAAACAAAGAGAATATAAATAAATACTATTCACTGCAGTATTTTAAAGAGTTATAAATATATTTTATTATATAGCAGATTATATTATATAATTAATACATAGTCTATAGCAGATATGATATATACTTAGTAAAGCTAGTATATTTACTTTAGTCAAAGATATCAGAGCTTATCTAGAATAATAATTCTTTTGATTACCTGCTTAACTGTATATTATATATATTCTTTTTATTATATCTCTATATTAAAAATGACTTCCAGGAGTTTGGCTATATCTACTGGTTTAATTATTTTACTATTTATTATTATCTTGTTCTTGTTCTGGGCTGGTTTATAATATATGAAATAAATCAGCTCAGTTTTCTTAGTTATAAATAATATACCGGTCCTCCGTGTCTACTATTCAGTCTGTGGGATGTCCTCTTTCTAAATCTTTTTAATATTCTTCTCTACCAAGGAACTAGTTTGCTAGTAAAAGTAATTATTAATAAATACTGATATCCCGCTGTTATTATCTACTGGTTAATCTACTAGATCTGAATTATAGAATCCAAATAGGATTGATAATAGAGGAGATCCTTAGACTAGTCCTGTATTTTCTAAGAGAGTACTGTCTATTTTAAAATCATCTAGTATTATACTGGTTTCTTGATTCTGTATAAAACTATAAATCTATAGTCAGGCTTTAGAAGGTATCCCTTTCACGCGAAGTTATGTATTAAGAGTGGTCTTGTTAACTCTGTTAAAAATATCTTTTAAATTAAATATAATTAAAGTAATTACCCTGGATCAGACCTATGCTTGATTAACTGTATTAATAAGTATCAGTAAGACTTATTTAATATTTTATCCTGGTCTATCTCTAAACTAAATATTAAGAAGTAGCTTGTATTTCTCTGTCCAGTATAAGAGTCTTCAGATTATAATAGCTTCCAGCAACTTTCCCAGTATATTAAGCAGAAAGATTGGCCAGTATATTCCCGGTACTGAGTAATCCAGCTTGCCAGGCTTATAGAGAATAATAATTTATATTTACTTCTACTCTCTTAGATAGTATTCCAGATTAATTAATTTTATAAAAATAATAGTAATAGTTCTCTTTAGAAATATCCAGAGATATTTCCAGACTAGGATCAGGATTCTATCTCAGCCCGGGGCTGTAGTTCTTTTTATAACTTAAAGTGATTAATAGATCTTCTTCTTGATAATCAGTATCTATAGTAATTCTTTAACCGGACTGATTTCTTTGCTTTCTGGTTCAGATATCTTCAGGAAGAAGATTTTAAAAAATACTTCTATCTTGTATTAATTATCCGTAATTTTCTCAGTACCCACTTAAATTACTGGAATACTTATATAAACATCTCGCGGGTATATATAGATAGCTGTTTTCTATATCTAGTCTTTGTCTACTTTGTCTAAGAACTCTTTCTAATAAATTGTTTTTATTTTTTTTATAGCTTTTATCTATTTTTTTCTCTTCTCGCGTATTATTTTAAATATAGACTTAATATTTGGATAATCTGATCTCCAGATAGTATATCTATTTTATTACTTTTTTTAGACTTGGTTGGCTTCTACTTACTGGATCTTAAGTTCAAGAGTAAACCAGTATTTTGAGTATGAATATAATATCTATACTAGTATATATTAGTCTAGAGCTGCTATTATAATTTAAATTAGATTTTTAACTGCATGGTCTAGATCTCTGTTTATCTGGATTCTCGGGTACTGGTTTATTTTTTTTAATATGGTTTAGCTTATATAAGACTAGTCTGCACGGCTGTAGACTTATTTTAATTTAGATTTTTTTACTTACTCTGGATAGAGACTTCATTCAGAGTATATTTTTTTATAGTTTGATTTATAATTATTATAATATAGTTAGCACTTAACCAGCCTGTTCATATTGTTAATTAATATAAGATCTAAAACTGATATAGTATCTAGTTTATTAAATACCCAGAATATTATTTCACCAGGATCCAGGCATTATTACAGCTCTAAGTTATAGAAGAAGTTGATTAATTTATCTATATATACTATAAAACAGTGATGTATTTTACAGTGGCTTTATATTAGATAATAATAATTAAAATCTTTTATCAGAATTAATTTGACAACATGATTATCTAATTCTGTATTTTATTAGATAATTTATCAGATTTTTATTAAGATATTATAAATACTGGTTACTTCAAAGGCTTTATATATTTTGATAGATAAGATATATATTAAGAATACCAGATATTAAAGCTCTGGTGTCCAGGTTTTAATAGCTATTATATCTCAGTAATTATAATAGACCTGGTGATGGAAAGCTATAAAGATTCTTTAGTTAATATAAATAAGACTGCGCGGTCGCGCTTCGGTAACAGGCTTATTAATATATATAGATCAGTATAACTGCCATATACTGTGATTTATATAAGTGTTATATATGGTTTTAGAT